TCGTTTGTTCACATATTGTACAACACTGCAGACTATGATGGTGCTCTATAAGGAATAAGAGGCAACTTCAAAGTTTGAGCTAAAATGATGATCCAAGAAGTGGATTTATTGCTTCTTGCCTGAATATAAAATATGTATTGAATCTACCACAATCTCCAGCCCGATATTACTGTTGCATGTACTGTACTAAAAAATGATACATGGTTTGAAATGTTCCTTGTGAACTTAACAAGGGAATATTTGTTAGCAATACCAGCGCAGTGACATGCCACAAATGGCAGTCTGATGATTTCAATGTCAGGGTCAGTGATTAACCTTACACAGTCAGGGTTGGGTTGTAGATAGAACTAATGATGCGTTATGGTAAATCAATTTAAGATCTACACTATTTTAGTCACAGTGCTGATTGCACTAGTATTTACAGCTGATAAGTAAGCAATCTGTGTCTAAGCTATGGATGTAAAGTACACCTGCAATGCATAAATGGCTTGTTACAGCCTTGCAGACAATTACACAAGGTCTACGGATTGTAATATCAAATGCATTGATGATAAAGGAACACTATAATTATTTTATATATATATTATAATTATATATATATATGTGTATATATATATATATATATAAAAATTTAAATAATAATTTTTTAAACTATATTTGTTCCTTTTTTTAAAGACTAATTTTAAAAAAAAGTACCTTTATTCCAGCACCAGCAAAGGCTCTTTAGTGCAGGACGATACTCCTCAGATGAGTCAAAATTTCTGTAAACTTTTATCCAATCACATGCTTCTCATAAAGTAGACACAAAGCGCATGCAGTGCAGTCTCTACAATCCAACAATTCAATGCGCCAATTCTATATCCTATGCAAGCTGAGCGCTAGATGTCAAATAGATTCCATTATTGTCTTCACACATTTTTAAATGTTTAACAGCGTGGGCATTGCAAAAAATATACACAGCTCTTTCTCACCAAGGACACTGTTTTTATTTACAAGACTGCAAGGACAAAACCTATTCACATCATTGTGATTAAGTGATTTTGTGGCTAAGACTGTACCTCTAATTAAATAGTTCAAAGTGTATCTTATTTCTATCCAGGACTGTGACATAAATGTGTTTCCTATATTTTCCAATCTTCACGGCCCAATCCCAGACAGCAATACATGTGTTGGTGGACAAAACTGACCTTGATATTAACTAAAGATTTACTGGGAAAGTCACCAAAGTGACACTTGTCAGGAGTTCAACATGAATTTAAAATTTAACAGCAAAATAGCTTAATTAGATTTATTTTCCATGTCAGCAATTCTAGTATTTTAGTCTTAAATTTAAAATTCACTTTGAATTCTTAACAATTCTAACTTGAATTAATAGCCATATTATATAATCTGCAGCCAACTAGGTACTACTGGACTGCAACACCCATTATTCAAGCCCAGCCACCAGCTCTGCAAATCTATATATTGTTTTAGGCAAGTTAGTTCTCTTGCGGTTCTAATTATTTTTATTGGTTAGGTGAAATTTGTAGATTGCTATAACAATCATTCTTTAATGAGGAAATGGTGTTGTATAGCACAATAAAATGCTTTGTGTACTAACACGTGGGTACAGATATGTTTAATGGTGATAATGTTTAGTATACCTTATCTTGTTTCTATGCTAATGGGATTTCAGGAATTCGAAATCTCAGTAAACTTCAGACCCTAGGCCACTGTACGTTTACAGAATTGGTCTTTGAGTGCAGGCTTTTCTGCAAAAAGGATTAGGGATTAATTTGGAAGTCTGATTTTTAAAACATAAATACAGCCTTTTTTTTTTTAAATCTAGAATACATAATGTTTCTATTATTTTTATTTATTTTTTCAGTAAATGTATAAATGTAAAAAAAAAGTTTAAAAAAAATCAATTTCACGGAAAGTAGATTTTTCATCATGACAAATGACAGAAAAAAAATTCCACGTCCGGGAATTGGATATATAAACTATTCCTTAAAGGATAAATACATTGTATTGCTGTGTTGTGCTGTTATGGCAAAGTACACAGAAGTTATAGCTGTTGGTTTGGATGGACTAAAAATCAAACAGAAATAGTCATGGTCGAGGTGGGGTATTCATTATATTAGCTACTTTTGAGGCAATAAAAATATCTGGCTCAGCCAAACTCGAGATAATTATTATTTTTTTTGTTATTATTATTTTTCTACCTTAGTTTTGCTTGTTGACTATCAATGTATGAATAAATCCCTTTGGGTTTTTCTCAGACACCCATGGGTCTTTCAAACTACTTTGTACGACCTGAGTTCAAGACAAGTGAATTGAGAAATTTGGGTAAATATCAAAGTAAAAAAAATAAAAATAAAGTAGATTGTGGGTTGATCTGGAACTTCTACCTGAAGAAGGACTGTCTGTGTATCTTCATTACCAGGTCCACTGGAAGCAGGAAGTGTAAAGTTTGCATGTAGGCTCAGGTGTTAAGACACCATGATTTTGAGAAGATGCCAGTGGTCGCTGTTAAACTATATCTCAAGCTAGTCAGGTAAAAAAATAAACAGCAGAGGGAACATATGTAGGGTCCAGCACGGTATATTTCACCAGGACAGTCTTACGATTTAAAGGCACCAACATTTTAATGTCCCGTTTGTAAATTTCTCTGTAAAAAGAAAATTTAGGGCCAGACCCAGGCCAGACAGCTTGGGCATCAGGGGGTACTATTGCATCGCAATAGCAATGTAGGCTGAGTTACAAAAGCATTGTCAAGGATCTCTGGGTGTGCTTGCCTCACATTTTTGTGTACCTGTGCATTACATACCTCCCTAGTATCCCTGTTTAGGCATTTACAAAAGTGCTGTTTTCTCTTGAAATCTGGCCTTTTATTAAAACCGCCTGAGGGACTTGAGCATCCCTTTAGATGGAATCATACTCTAACTAGATCCCATTAGCCAATTACTCCATACAGTAGTGAAAACCTACAACACCCACCCTCTCCCCCCGATTGTTGTCTCTATAAAGTTTGCTGCCGTTGACTAACTAGGCTGCGCTACTGATGCTGTTAGTGCCATCCAATGACCTGGTGATGTGTATGGTTTACACAGCTCATGCAACAGCACCACTTAAACCTTTTTATTTGTTAAAAAAAGCAAAAATTAAAAAACAAATTTAAATGGTTATTTTAAGACATTTAAAGAGCTCCCTCCTCCAATAACAGGAGTTCAGCAAACCAAAACATTTCCTGTGCTGTTAAACAATTTTTAACCTTTATCATCATGAACAGTCTTGTGTATAGTAGCGTCAATCAAAATAATCGATTCCTGTGATCCTTACCTACTTGCAAGCAGGGTTTTTCTTTAATCCTAGTTTGCTGTGTCTCTCGAGGGATAAAATTGCCCCGTTCTGATTTAAACAGTAGTGTTCTGCTTCAGTTAGAAACAAGCATGTTTAAATCAATAATATCGAACAGCTGGGCTAAAAATCTTTTTAATCATTAATAACAATAATCTTGATGAGGTCTCCTGCAAATACCACGTATACCTGGGGACTTAAATGGCTCTGCTGACAGATTTCCTTAACCAATATACAGTGTGCACAGTAATTGGTCAATGTTATTATCACATACTTTAATATTGCAATGTTTTTTTGTGTTAGGTTCGGATTGTACCCAGTGGAGATATGCCACCAAATTGTCATTTAAATGAAAGGTTATATATATATATATATATATATATATATATTTTTTTTTTTATAACACACATACATACTCTACAGTGCTATACAAAAGACAAGAAGATGCAACATGATAAATTGTTGACAAGTATTTTAAAAATTTAAGAACCAAAATAACATGGTTATGGCAAACTAGCTAAATTTTAGATATTTTCCTCATTCAAGTATTATGGCCAGAAATGTGTGGTTCCTTTTCCAATTAGTGGTTTAGTGACTACTTCCATGTACGTTCCTTTGAGCAGGGCTATGCCATCTTTTTTATGTACGTAAACTTGGTTTGTAATGAAATAGATTTAAATTTAGTTTGTTAGCTGTACAGCTCTGTGACGTATGTTAGTGCTTTTCAAAAAAAAAAAAAAATTGATGATTACTGGACTATTAATATGCATTCACACTAATATTATTATTTATAAAGCACCAACAAACTCCATAGCGCTGTACAAAAGGTGGACTAACAGACATGTATTTGCAACAAGACCAGTTATGTTTTTTTTTTTTTTTTCTTGTGCTTATATATAAAAACACACATGTGGGTTTTTTGTTGTTGAAACTATTAATTATAATAATAATAATAAAAATCTTAAATAGCATTGTATAAATTTGCCTTTATGTATTGGTCTGTGTATAGTTTACTGTATTTGTCCCAATTGTACAGCACTGAGGAATTAGTCGGTACTTTATAAATGCCAGTAATAATAATAATCATAATAATAATAATATTTATAAACATACAAACTCTGTGTTTCCCATATTGGTTGTAAGCATAGACACAGAGAAAATAGAGAGGAAAAAAAAAACAAAAAACTAAAATATGTGAGTCAATCACAGGAAAACACCAAAAAGGTCAAAAAGGCACAGATGTGAACGATTACCTGAATGAACCCAGCACAAACCAACCCCTCCTCTGACCACTTTGACAACAAAAAAAAGATCTGCTCTCCCTCGCGGGTTTCTCTACTCTTCCACTTCTGAGAACCATAAGTTTTACTGTGTGCTTTCTACACAGACCAGTTTTTTTTTTCCGCTTTGCAGCAGAAAAAAAAAAAAAAAAAGGAGGGGGAGGGGAGGTTGTTCCTGGAAGAGCCAGCCTGGGGAGTTGGTCACATTCTTGGCTGGGATTCAATGACTGAGGCAGACACCAACAAACAGAGAGAAAGGGGGTGGAGAGGAAAAGAGGGGAGGGGAAGAGAAGGGGGGGAGAGGGGAGAGACAGTGGTGGGGGGGAGGAGTGCACAGTGCAGACAGTGTATCAGCTAAGCATTCAAGCACTCTGAACTGAGCAGGCAGGAGCTGTGCATGGCTTCTCCACTTACCAGGAGTAAGAATTACACATGACATGAAGACCAACTCTTAACAAAACAACACCAGAGACTTGAAAACCATTTTGGAACTTATCTGATATTTTTGTACTGGGTTTTTTCTTTTTTCTACATTTTTGTTTTCCTTTTTTTTTTCTCTCCCCCCCTGTCTTTTTCTAAACTGGGGAGTCAGACCTACCTAATACTGACTTCTCCTGGAGAGACTCCCTTCTACCCCCTCCCCCCCCCCTCTCTCCATTTATCGATTGGGAAGCTATGGACATAAGCGAGAAGAAGAAAGGGCACGTTTAGTCCCCACCAAGTAGACACCCTGTTGCAGTGACTTTATTCAGTGTTCTTTCTGAGATACATTTTAGAATCTTCATATTTTTTTTTAATACACATTTCTTGGTGGGGTGGGGAGGTCGCTGCAGAAGTGGTGGAGTCAGCTGGATGAAGTGGTGTCACTGCAGCAGGACAGTTTGGGGAGAGTTTGAGGGACATTATCCAAAACCCCAGCCTCTGGATTGATTATCTCTGCGTGGAACAAATGGAGGTCCTCAGCTGCTCATAGAGGCTGGATCTAAGTGCTATTTTGTGGTTTTTACTTATTTTTTAATTTTTTTTTTTTTTTTTAATTTGACCCCATTTCCTGGATTTTGTTCTCTTTTGGAAGTTCTACCATGGAGACTGTGAGCCGGAGCAGCTTTCAGCCCCATCCAGGTTTGCAGAAGACTCTGGAGCAGTTCCACCTGAGCTCCATGAGCTCCTTAGGAGGTCCAGCCGCCTTCTCAGCACGCTGGGCACAGGACATGTACAAGAAGGACAGTGGCAAGGAACCGGAGCCCATCCTCCACTTGCCCGTTCAGCCTCCCCCAGTCATCCCTGGGGGGCCCTTATTCATCCCATCCGATAGGTCTACAGAGAGGTGTGAGACCATCCTGGATGGGGAGACCATCTCGTGCTTTGTAGTCGGTGGGGAGAAGAGGCTGTGCCTCCCCCAGATTCTGAACTCTGTCCTGCGCGAATTTACCCTCCAGCAGATCAATGCGGTGTGCGATGAGCTACATGTCTACTGTTCCCGATGCACTGCTGACCAGCTGGAGATCCTCAAAGTCATGGGCATCCTGCCCTTTTCTGCCCCCTCCTGTGGCCTCATTACCAAGACAGATGCCGAGCGTCTGTGCAATGCCCTGCTCTATGGGGGCACCTACCCACCAAGGTGCAAGAAGGACATGCAGGTTTCCCTAGAGCTGGAGTTGACAGAGAAGAGCTTTAGGGTCTATCATGAATGTTTCGGCAAGTGTAAAGGCCTGTTCATTCCTGAACTCTACAACGACATCAATGCCCCCTGCATCCAGTGCCTGGACTGCCGCCTTCTTTACCCACCTAACAAGTTTGTGGTGCACTCACACAAGGCTCTGGAGAACAGGACATGCCACTGGGGTTTCGACTCTGACAACTGGAGGGCGTACATCCTCCTGGCTCAGGATTATAGCAGCAACGAGGAGGAACAGGCCAGGATGGCACGACTCCTGGAGGACATGAAGGAGAAGTTTGACTTCAGCAAAAAGTACAAGAGGAAAATTGCAAGGGTAGGTGTCTACTCCCAAAATCAGAGTGTGAGCTGTTTCAGTGGATTTAAAAAAAAATTAAAAAAATACTCCAAACATGTGGTATATAAAAATGTGCAGTGTGGCAAAATTCAGACAAATGGTGCAAAACCATGAAAGGGTTAGAATTAACCCTTCCAAAAGATCAGAAATATTTCTTATTACTTTACTTTAGTATCGTTAAATTCCAGGATAAATCCTGGTAAATCCCCCTATTTCTATTTTGGAGACCACCACAGTTTCTAAGTTTAGGCATTTATGTGTCAAAAGTGGTAAGTGTGCGACAGGGATGCTTTGTATAGTTGAGAGAATTAAGGGGTTAATGGGCAATAATTTGGAGAATGCCAAGGTAAAATGTAATTGAATGGATGCATCATTGACTAATGAGTTGCTGTCTTAAAAGATTTGGGTTGCTAAGTTTTTCAAAGGCTATAGCACATGGATTTCATGATTTTAGGGTGCGATTTAGGATGGTAGGGTGACTGCTGTCACTCCTGCCTTCCGTCAATAAAGAGCTAGTCTATTTCAATGTTGGAGTTAGTAGAAATTATGGGTTTAATGGGGGGTTTGTTCACGTGTCTTCAATTGTGAAGAATTGAAAATCAAAGTGAAAATTTTAGGCCAAATTAACAAAGCTGAAAAAAAAACAACAAAATAAAAAAAAGCAGTTGATTCATTCCCAAATGTGGCTTTTTTAACTTTTCAAAAATGTCTGTTTTTTAGTTCTTCATCTTAAATAGTCCAGAAAATGTCTATTAAAAAAACAAATCAAGAACACTCACAAAACTGTCATATTAGAGGGCATCTGTCACTTTTTGGGTCGGGGTAGTAAGAAAAGGTTTTGCTTAAAAGAGCATGAACCTGCAGTGACCTAGTGGCAACCGTGTTTCAACCTAAGCGTAGATGTCACTGCTGATAAAAGTGATGATCTTGATGTACTTATTGATTAGTTTACTATTTGTATGCACTGTGTGGAATGGCAGATGTGGTCTTCACAAGTGGAGATATGGACACATAGCAGGTGCTGATGACCCACAGTACCCTCTTTCCCTGTATGCCAGAGCGTGGTTTTGTATCTGTAAGGGTTATCCTCCTATTCACCTACTGGTCTAGACTAGCGTTCAAAGTGTCGACTTGTCACTTGCTTCTTTTACGTAGAGATAATCCTTTGTAGCAGCCTATATTTGTCTGGTCTGGAACCCTATCTGCCTGATTCTGCTGCAGTGACATACATTCAGCCTCAGTGGTGGTTAGTGGTTCTCCCTCTGTCTGGGTCGAAATATTACTATATATAGATGCACATATTCACTTTTATCTGTGCACGTGAGGTCATCATATCCTTCTAGGAATGTCAGTGTATATATCTGTGCTGTGCTGCCCAGTCAGACCTGGCACCAGACGGGTAGTGATGTTCTGCTTTGTGAGTAGGTGGTATATACATAACCGAGGCAGCTTCAATGAAGACGTGCCACCCAGACGGTCTGTCCAGACACTAGTGGTTTATTTTAGATGTCTGGGCTCAGCCATATGTGGATGCCAATTTTGAGGGTAGTGCGTGGTTGTCTGGGCAGCATATAAAGGCCTCAAAACTTTGTCCAATCTATATTTAAAAACATATTTTATGACCCTTTTTTTTTTTTTTACTTTATTTTTCACGTTTCACGATTTCGGTAAGATTTGTACTTAAAAACGCATAATGTTTCATTTGGTAAAAATACATTTTCAAATCGCAGCCATGCCACACTCAGCCCTAGATTTACAGAGGAGCCATGCTATAGATGATAGAGTTACGGGCATCCATTCTTAGCTCATTTACTATGTAGTTCTTTAAGTTGACCCATTAACAGCCAATTAATAAATTATGGTATAGTATAATGCAAGTACAAAAAAACACTTTCTCACCAACCTCTCCTCACCTCATTTTGTTCAAGATAAGATACAATCTTTCAAGGAAAGCAGTTTACGCAGACATGACATGCTGAGACTGCATACTATGTGACAAGGGTTAATGATAAAACCAGCTCTGCTTTCCAATTTTTATTTTTTTATTTTGTCCTCTTTTGCCACTCATAGCCTTTCTACGTAAAATGTGTGACTTGCTTGATTTCCTGTCACTTATTATTCCCAGTGCATAATAAAATTGCATTTACTGATCTCTTCTTGGGAGGCCAATTAAATCACATTATTGCTTAAATCCTTTTTTTTTTTTCCTTGCCTTTTTCCTATTATCATTGAATAGACTCCTTTCCAATTTCCCCAGGAGTTTCTTACAACTGTGTGTCAGAGCTATTGTGGCGATGTTAACCGTAATGAGGCGCATTATCTGTGATAGTTGGAGGTGGATGCATTTTTAATAGCTTGTCTATCCCCAGCTAATCATGGATTGAGGTAGTAGCTTTGAATAGTTGTGTCTGGCACAAATGGACCCGTTTTTTGTTGTTGTTGCTGGCTTTGGGAGACTGTTGTTTAACCCTTTCATGGCTGCACAAGCGTTGCATTGCCTGGTTTCAAACCGACATAATGTGGGTGTGGGGGGGTATTTTTTAAATTATTTTGTCTTTTATTATTTTTAATTATTATTTTTTTTTTCTTTTATTTCAATTCCAAAGGCTAATGTTCGACGTACCTTGCCATTTCTTGCCAATGTCCTCCTAATGCCTTGAGTCTCTGTTAAAATTTACATTTAAACAAAAATAATAAATAATGGAATCTGAATTTTTATTTTTTCCCGCTCAGATGATGTTTTTGAAATCATGAAAGCATCATTCTTGTTCAATAGCACTTTGCCTTAAGCATCTTAACATAGTTTCTTTCTCTTATTTATTTTATTTACTGTGCATTTTCAATTTGTTTTTGTTTTTTTTGTGTATTGTCTTTGCATACAGTCCTTGATCACAAAAATAAGAGGGGACAAAGTGTTTTTGTGTTTGTGCAAATGTTATGCTCTTAACTCTCCATCGGGTAACCCACACACAGCGTACCTACCTTAATCCCTGTTAGTGCCAGCCGTCTGCAGCACTAACAGAGACGAATGAAAGCTGTTTGCTTGTAACATCAGGTTATGAATAAAGCTAAATATTACAAACCATGTGTTGTGTAACACTTAAACTATTAAGATCGTGTAAGAAAATATTATCTTTAGTTTGTGAGATTTTTTTCACTCCTTCTAAACTTTGGTTGCCCTTACCCCAATTTATGTCTTACATTGTAGAATTTGTGCCACATTTTTCAGACGGTATGCCACAGGTGTCACTGCCTGTAAGCCAGACTTTAGCATGACATTGTGAGACTGTCATGTCCATTTGCCAACTGCCTAAGTTTCAGTGTACCCACATGGTGTGCCATGAAAGTACCCGAGACATGGTAATTTACGTGTATTTTATTTAATTCTTATCCAGTGCTCAAAAGAAATCTTGCTGTTATGGGTAAAGAGGGGGGTGAAGGGGGGGAGAGGGGGGGGTCAAGGGATTAATATGATTTGTGTGGATAATTCTCCACCTATCATTCCATTATTCATTTCCATAAAGTTACTTCACATCTAACCAATCAGATTTCGTTCGTGTTTTCTTTAGCGTTCCAATTGACATACATGCCGTTGTCCATAGGTGGCCTGCTGTTACTATTCTCAATGCACTATAATTCCCATGGGGCTCTGCTGTTTAGGAAATTTGCAAAGCATGTTGGTACCTCGAGTCCATGACATCCAGGAAGTTTAATGCTTATTTATTTACTTATTTTAAGCTCTCCATTTTGTATTTATATGTAGCATTGATTGTCCACTTTAACCCTGAGCAAAGACACTGCTACAATGATGTTCATTATGTTTTTTTTGTCCTGTGAAAATGTGTTTTTATTTTATATTCAGCTCGTTGGATTAGTACAAGAACGAAAGTTAAAGTCAAAGCTAAATTGTTCCTTGGTTGGTGGAGTCTTGCAGCATCTTTTGTGTAATGTCTGCTGGAGAATTGAGCAAGTGGCTTGAAATAGCAGACAGGATATCAAGTGTTAGGAAGTCTGTCTTTCCTAAAACAGACGCAGACTAGCGGCTTCTTTTAACTCAATTATAACATCACCTGCCCGAGAGACTCTATACTTAGACCTCGCTATAATGTCTGCCCAACCCCTTCACTTTATTTTTTTCTGAATGGCTGCTCTTATATATATTATAACTGTACTAGTTCATATGCTTCAAGAGAGATTTTGTAAGATATTTTTATAGAACAATATTTCTGTAAATCTATTTTTTGTATAATAACAGATATATCCCACAGATATATTTTTTTTTAAAAAAGGGGGTTTTCCAGGAAGTGTGCTGTGAGTCTTTATCTTTTAATTACGGTATATCTTGAAATATACACTGTATTATTGCCCAACTCAATATTACAAGCTTTATTGACCTCCGAAAGATGAAATGTTTTAAACATGGCAGTAACGGGAACTTTAGACAATGCAGTTCTAACAGTTACAGGGGTCATCAGTTACATAGTTGCACAGTTAACAGCGGTTATTGGTTTATTAGTTTGAGCCAATGTAATAACTCTACTCGTCTGAGATTGGCAGGAAATAAAATTGCAACATGACCATTTAGTGTGTTGTTCAGGAATGTGCTGCCTCAGAATTGCACAAGGCTAGACGTCTCGTATGAAGGGAATTTTGAAAAAAAAATAAATGTTTTTTTAAATTCAATGGAAAAGTAATTACGGGAAATGTCCTGATAGCAGAGACTAGTAGTCTTCCAGTCGCATGCTAGACTGTGGTTTGCCATGAGAATGAATAATTTGTTTGTCTTTCTGAAGAATCAGGAATTGATAAATATTATGTCTGCTAAAAAATATCTCCTTGCTTTATGTGCTCTGAACTTTTCCAACGTTTTTATGTTTTTGTATAGTGTTTATTTAAAATGTATTAAGGAATACTATGTATAGAGTAGCAGGAGCCTAAGAGTGTTATATACTAAAGTGTGACTGCAAGATGACTTGTAGATTTTAATAATCAGGAAGAACATTTCGGCTCCAAGATGAGCCTTTATCCAGCTTTCTTCATGAGTATTGATACGCTAGGAATGGTCCACCCTGGTCTGAAGGCAATACGCAGGGGAAGTTTGAGCAACTGCCACTCCACTGTGTACATGCTGAATTGGTAAATATTAGTAGGTATACACAACAGACCCAATGGCGTTCCTCGTGGGAGTGGCTAAATGTTCTATTTTCCCTCCCAGGAGGGAGAGTGAATATTCCACAATTCTTCAGCAGCCATATTTGTGCTTTAAACCTCTGATAGAGGCAATAGCAAAAAATGCATGTAGAAATGAAACAGAATCCATAGGTTTAGTAGCAATTATCTAGCACAATTTACTCTAGAAAGTAATTTTTTAAAAGAAATGTAAATTTATATTGTAAGGGCTCTTTTAGCCACACAATCCATTTATCAAATAGTATGGAGATATTTTTTTTTTTTTTATATTAACCATCCATCATCCATGCCATTCTTGTAGCAAAATGATTAAACATGTAATGTTAGTTAACTGATCAGCAGAAATATTTTTTTAAATTTTTTTTTATATTTAACTTGGTTAATTACTACACAGGGCTCAACATTAAATAAAATATAAGATGTGTTCATGCTGATTACTACAGAAGGGATAATTTTAACATGTTGCTGAAACTACCACTCTAAAAGTGACAGACAAATGTATTAAGGAAATGCTCTTCCTTTTGCGTTTATATTAAAGGGGACCTTTCATACCCCAAACAGCTTATGCTCATTAGATTGAAAGTAAAATTCTATCTAAACATTGTGCTAGCAATTTTCTAGCAAATGTATAGATTAGGGGAAAAAAAACTGATTTAAATAGTTTTTTTCTCCCAGCTGCTAATCAATGCCTTGGCGTGCTGCAGCATTGACTGTCAAGGGAGATAGACCTCCCACAGGTGGTCCTTCTGCTCTCCTAAGCATTGTTAATGCGCTGTGGTTGCTATGGAAACTCCCTAGCGATGGCTAAAGAGTATAGGAAGGGAGTGACAGGACATCACTCATTTCCGGCACCACTGAGGAGGTTTGCAGTGAAATTGAAGAGGAGGAGGTGGAGGACGGCCGGAGGTGGGTGTATCACCCGTGAAGCTTGAAGATGGTGGCGCTGGAATGGTGGAGAGGAGGGTAAATTTCTATATTTTACATTAAATACATTATGTATCTTTGTGATATATAATGCATATGGGAGCGATTTCAGGTAAGTTGATATTTTCTCAACAGGTTCACTTTACAATATATCCCTGCTCTAGAGTGGTGTCTGGCTACGTGCCCAGAAGATGCAGACTTTATCTGTACATTATTGTACTGTTAATTGTTTTCTGTAATTATTATGTGAAAAGCACAGGATGTGGTTCAGATGTATTGGTTGACTTAACCAGAGTTAGGTTATCATCTCTGGATGTTAGACGTCTGCATCTTCTATAAGGATTTGCCAGTTTTGTAGTTTGTCCACAAAAACTTGTCGATGGCGCGAGAAATCTTCTGAGTTGGAAGATTTTTTTTCCTATTCCTGATCTAGACTATCTTCATTTAGACCGATGAGTTTTACCCATATCTCGTTTTTTACAGATGTTCTGTGGCTTCTTTTTTTTTTTCTAACACACTCTTGCTAATGCCTTGAGAGCATGACAAACCCAACAATATTGTGATGATGTGATTTAAAACATGAAGAACTCTGGGCTTGCAGAGACCTGTAGTTGCAGCCAAGATAAATTTAATCAAAATTACACCTACGGATCCCATGCCATTTTTCGTTGAAACCTCGCTTGTCAACCCTGTTGCAGTTGATCTTGTGATCAGAAACATGATGAGATTATATTATACTTTCTAGGTTATCTGTTACCATTTCCCAACCACAGTTACCCCATTCCACCAAGGTCCATATAAATGGGATGTTGTTTTATTTCTGGGTAGTCATGGGAGTTTAAGGAGTGAAATGCATTTTTTTTTGCAAAGGATTTAGATTTTCGAACAAAAGGTGTGGCAAATAAAACAGCTTTTGGCCTCTTACCCTTTTTTTTTCTTGTTCTCAACTCCCTCTGCTTTTAATCCCTTTCATTTCATTGCTTTAGGCTGTGTACATCACAGCCCCTTTTTTAACACCCAAACAAAAGAGTAGGAGAGTGACTAAAAGAACTTGAATTTCGGGCTAATGCTGCAAAGAGTTGAATGATTGATTTTAATATCAGGCAGGTGTGCAGATACTGCCTGATGTTCGTGTCTGGTCATGACTCAAATATTGCTGTACACACCAACTTCTTATGCCTGTTGAGTATTTAATCCGGGAGATTTTTGTTAAGGGAGCGAGTTTTGCTTGTCATTTATTTGCACTAAGGGGCCATTTGCTGCCTTGAGTTGGTGATGTTGATTGCGGATTCCCAGCTCTTATCTTATTGTGCTTGGCTAGCCATTTGTAACACCTTGGGTGTTAATGAAGCTGAATGGCTGTTATCAGAGCAAAGATACATATATCACCCCACTGTCATGTTTCTTTTTGTTTTAAGAATGTAAATAAATTGCAGAAGAATCCGAGAGGTGTTAGTGTACATGGAAAGAGCAGTATATAAATTATATTTTTCTTTATTTATTGAATACAACTTTGGTTAAAGTGGATACGCTAAGTTCCATTTTAAGTTACAACTGTATCTGTGTCTTAGATATACTTGGAAACTTGTTAATGGTGACAATGATGCCCGTTCTGTGACACTATAACTTTAATGTCCCCTGGTGCTTGAGTGGTGACAACATTTGAGGCAGCCTTGTGTCTCTTGTGTGTGAATTCCTGGAACAGACCCTGGAGGCTTTGTAGGGGGCTGCCTTGGGACAGAGCTTGCGATTGTACTCTGGCCATGCTCCCCTGCCGTGCGTAGTGATGTCAGTGTTACAGAACAGGGGCAACAGGGGGTCTTCTAAAAACCAAAATAACCACCATTGTGAATAGAATTGGGTTGGGTGGCATATGTGTGGCTGATACTCTACTTGCATATTATACTTGTTACTATGAGTAAAAGAGCCAGGCAAACTTAATTTCAAAGTTCCCGCAAAAGCAATCTCTCTTTTATTTATTTAACAATACAATTTGGGGAATTGGGGGAAGAGGGAGTAGTTGGCCCCAAACATAGTTTGTTACTTTTTAGAGGGTGTTGTGTTTGCAAAGCCTTGTATTCTTGTAGGTAATAGCCATGCAAATTCCATAAATTCGCTCCCATGCTTGTCTGAAGGTACTGATCTGGGGTCTTAATGAGGTGTGCAATTGCAAATCCATTCACAGGTGTAGGAGCTAATTTGCTGCCAGTTCTTAAGCATTGGTTCTCTGGCTATTATTTGTCCCTTCCCTTTAAGGCTCCTGCTATACAGCTGTATTTGCCGCCCTGCATAACTCAAGCTAAAATTTGAGTATATTGATAAAATATTCATACTAGTACAGAGTACACCTTATCTGTACACTGCCCTGCTTCAGTCTGTCATATGTCTGACTTATTTTGTGGATTTATCCTTGGTCTCTGGCGTCTGACCCCGAGTGGCGATTTGAATTAAGATTCTAGTAGCTATACATAGACTGTATAATTTACATGTTTTAAAATGAATCCCTACGCTTTAGCAATGTATGCAGAAAATTCCGTTTAGCTTTCCAGTCTGAGCTAAGGTTTTAATGCGTGCAAGTCCTGTCACCTGATGACAGGCTAATGTGCTGAATGTGGAACCATGAAATATCATGAAAGTTCTTGCTTCAATGAAAGCCCTATTAACAGTTCTTGCGGTGAATTTCTCCGGCCATGCTAATTTGCATGGGATTTTTTTTTTTTTTTAAACGTGATTTTTGTCTGTTGCCTATGTTTATTTTACACAGCACTCTGGCCTACGGTGAGTTAATCCCAGATCCCAGAACACTGAAACAATGTAGCGCGCCCTGTTACCGGCAGATGTGTAGAGGGCTATGTCCTGGTTGTCATTCCCCTTTTGTAAAATGGAATGCTCTCACTGCAGTGTTGTAACTTTTTATCTTTTTTTTTTTTCTTCTTGCTGTTCTGCTGCAGTGCATCGTGGGATTTCCATTTCTGCTGAATGGGCTGCTTGTTTGAGGGGGAGGAAGTGCCTTCCCTGTAGGATTGCGAGGAATGGTGGTGGTATGGTGAGGAAGGAGGGGGGGGAACGTCCTGCTTTATATGCAAAGCACAGCAGTTTCAAAAAAGACATAGTAGATAGTGCAAGAGGATCTCCCCGCACAAACATAGGGGTGTCACAAACACACACAGCAGCTGCAAGCTTTGTGAAGCCTTGTGTTATTGTATAGGTTTTTTCCGGAACATCTCTTTACTAGAAAGTGATGGTGTTGTTGTATTATAGAGCAGCGCTCAGAGTGAATCACCCCCCCCCCCAAAAAAAAGCATTTAACGTCCCATTTAATAGGATGCACAGTTTGCTTGTCTGCTTTAATAGGAGATCTGCAGGGGTCCCTGAAGAAGCCAGGAGTTAAGAGGTCTTCAGAGCCCTACCATGAAAAGAAACAGGTCAAAAACTGAGCTCCTTTTGAGAAGGCCTCTGAAAACATTTTGAAATGTGCTTCTACTTACCAACCCACCCCCGTTTTTCTCTATCTCAGTTTCAAACCATTCACTAGTCTTCATGGCAAAGGAGTTTAAAAAAAAAAAAAAAAAAAAAACTTTTGAAGTCCACCCCTCCTCCCTTAAAGAGCTCATTACAGACAATAGGGTTTCATTTCCAATAGGCTGTCTGAATCATGTCAGATTAACCCGCGTGAAGCTCGTTAAGAGTTCCATGCGTGCTCTATTTTGGGGTTTTATTTCCCTCTAATATATTTCCCACCTTTTAGTATGTGACTGTCATTCCCAGCCCACCCCCACCTTTTTAATTATCCTTTTTAGGCTGAGTGGTATGCAAATATAGTCAATTAAGTGGGATGTTTTTAATTAACGGTTTTAAGTTCACGTGTGAAGTGCCTAGATTTAATCACTCTTCACAGTTTCGTTGTTAATTTGCAACGTTTTCTCTTTTTTTTTTTTAATGTTTTGGAATAACTCTGAAAAAACTGTGAATTGACGGTTTTCATCCTTTTCTTAGAAATGTCTAGTGGTTATATAGTATTTTTTTTAATACCTAAACTAATGCAGTTTTTGGGGAAAGCATAGTTGATGGAGCAGTAGGAAAGTAAAAATGGTTAAAGGACAAAAGCGTAAATAAAACGATAAACTAACCCACCTACAAATGTCCTGTCCTTGGTTTGGAGAGAAGGCACATGATCTACATTGACCAGGAAGTGGCTGAGAAATCTCAGGCAATCCTTGTTTACTACTTTACTCTTCTCACAGGCTGTTTCTGAAGACTATATTTTTACAAGTTGCAGGCGTTATCTCATCCATTCAAATGAATTTGACAAATATTTATAGTGTATGGAGATAATGATCGAGTCAGTGCACACAGAATTTTTTTTCTCTCCTTACAGAACATTTGATTGTCAAGTGCTTTTTGTCCAGCTTTGGAGTGTAAAATCTGGGATTCAAAAGAGATTCTTCAAGCCTTGCTCCTTGAATGATACAATACTTTGGAGTGTGTTGCTTATGGATTTTAGCTGCTAGGGGTCCTACAATTCTCTCCAGTGGACTCTGTTTTTCACCTTTCTGAAAAGAAAAAGGGGTAAACTTGACCTATTGTCAGTCTTGTAGAAAAGAGCATAATGCCACTAGTACTTCCCACTGGGATGTTTTACACACACACACACACACACGAAATAGCAAATTTTAAGTCAAAATATTCAACGTGGAAAAATTATCCAACTCTGTTTTTCCAGCTGTTGAATAAAACCTACATTTTATCATTTCTTTTTCAAGAGATCGCGAAAGTTCTTTTTTTTTTTGTTCTTCTTCAAAAGAGGAACTGGTTATACAATTCTCAAGAACTTGTTTTCCTAAATCCTGTGCCCGGTCAACTGCCAGTTCTTATTAGCAGATCTGTGCACGGGCACCATTGCAGCTCTGCCACATAATGACATTTATATATGTGTACGTATTCCCAATACAAACACCAATTACAAGAGCTAAGCTATCCAAGCTAAATATATATTTAAGAACTATAAAAGTGATTGTAAATTACCTAAAAGAGTCTACTGTGCAGACACGAATAATAACAAAGCAGACCTGAATGTTATTCCGTAGGATGTCTCGGGGTTGCATTCCTTTGTACTAGATAATTCACATTTTGCAAAACACTGGTGACTGTTACACAATTCGATGGTCACTGGGTGTGGAACTGCTCTTTATGTTGAAAGGTTTTTAATTGGAACAAATTGTGAAACAAAGCCCTTAAAACTTCGGTCAAGGGATTGGTCAAAGATTGATATTTTTAGAAGTGTATGTATTTGTGTGCTTACGTAAGTATGTGTGCGTGTGTGTATAGTGTATGCGTGTGTATGCATGTATTTTATATATATATATATATATAAATATATATATATATATATATATACATGCACACAACGTCAGGATGAACAACATGACAGTACTATTGATAACAAAAAATTGCCTATCCCTGAACCAGAAGGGGTTGCAGGATTTCGCACCCCGATAGAAGTGGAACATTCCCTAGTCACCCAGAGGGAGCAGAAGGGGTTATGGGGGTATCGTGATTGTAAGTTCTTGCTGAACTATGTACGTGCTCTGAGAATTTATTCTCACTTCTGCATCTCTCATAGGACGGGGATTGTGAATAATTTAACAAGTGCAGGCAGGGTTGTCTACAGAAGCCACATTGTTAGAAATTCTCCAGTCAGCAGACAGCTAGTCTGGGCAAGCGGTGAGGATACGTTAAAGTCAATATTCCATCATCTTGTCGGAGTTAACCATTTCTGTACCACTGGCTCTCAGAACTGGCAATAAATGTTGTGGAATTTGTGAGTTACGATGGTAGAATGCTGTCACGTCCAATCTGTCTGAATGTTTCCCCAATTAATTTTGTTGATTTTGTAATGCCATTCCTATGCAAAAACATATTTTCAGCGGTTCAAAGTATTTGCTTTTTTTGGATGCACCTGCGTTCATTATTCAGGTGGTATGGAGTCTACGTAGAAGCATGACTGGAAAAAATATATATTTAGAAGCTGACCACACAATTTTAAGAGCCAAACTTTTAAAATTGCCATTTTATTTTTGCGAAGCACAATGGCCACATCTTTCTGAGTTGGACGGAATAGATATTGGTGAAGTAGACGTTTAAAGTCGACTCTACACTAATCAAGGCTGCTGAATAAAGGGTATTCTCTGGGTGGTGGGGAGAGACTACTCCAAAATGGTTTGACCAAAAAACAATATGGAAAAAAAAAAACAATATGTGTATCCTAGAAATTTGACCACTTTAAACTAAAATTATTTTTTTTTTGTTTACTTTGCAAGCTGGCGTTATTGGTTGTGAAATATACAGTGTCCTTTTAAGCTAACTAGATTAGACTATGCCAGGCAGGATAGCCTGTGTTAGACACATCTGTTACTGTGGAGAACAGTCTTTTTGAGGCACTGTGAGTGCACAGACAACACCACTTTCTATACCTGGATACTTACTTAACACAGTAGCTCTGTTTCAGTCCTGTCAGACAGTCACTCACCAATCACTCCTTCTTTAAGATTCCAGATGGTTAAATAACAGCAGGGGTTAAAATGAGATCCATTGTCTCTTTTCTTATGCCTAATTTAAGTCTTCACTCACTGTCTATCTCTCTTTTCCAGTGTCTTTTTTGTCCCTTTGACTCTTTCTCCAAATGATCAAATTAGGCTGCCTATTTGGGTGTATTTAGGGGAGGAGTGAGGCACTCCACTAAATCCGTACTTAACCTGTGAACATTGATTTAGATAACTGCTCTCTGTAATGTAGATATTACACTGTGTGCTACTGTCCACCATCAAATGACAAAACTGAAGGTTCAACCTGTGTCTATTAAATATAGTATTCGCAAGTAGGCATTATCATACATTATTTATGTGACTTATTAAATCTGTATAGTGTTTATTTCTACAATCATTCATATTGTCACTTTGTTTCCATCATCAAACATTTTGACAGACCTAAAATAGTGTTGAATCGTTCTTATAAGTCTCTAACCACATTAAGTTGTTTTAAAAACTGGCCATCCGTCTGATAGACCAGCATTGGGTTACATGTGGCCTTGAACGACTTCAAATATTTGTCAACTTTTTGCTTGTGTGAAGACTGAAGTTCTGTATGTACATTTGCAAATAATTTAGTTTTAACCGGTGTTTTATGCAATACTGTATTAAGATTGAATAAATAACCACATGCCAGAAAAAAATATCTAGAAAAGATTACTCATTTCTCTTCAGCTTGCATTTCTGACGCCCTTGCGTCCTTGTTGCCCCTATGCTGTCCCCTGCATAATAGCGGACCTTGCTTGTCACAGCATGGTGGATTTATGGTGGGATATTCGCTACCCTTCCGTGACCCAGAGGGCTGCCAAAAAATGGCCACAGCTTTGCTATCCAGCTTCACTTGATTATATTGGAGTGCCTGTTGAATTGAAAAATTGAAAGGATTAATGAATTCTCTCGGTCCTGGGGTGACTGTCCCCTTTGTGCAGCTTTGTTTAACGCTGTTGAATATTTATGTAAAAGGGGTGCACGGTCTGGTTACAAGTCGCTGGTGCTTGAAGAGGTGAAGGAGGAAGGGGGTAACTGTTTTTTTTTTTCCGTCTTGCCCTTTTTGTTTTGCTAATATCGTCATCGATGAAAGCTTGCGTGCTTGTCCGAATGAGCTCGACCTATCTGCACGTTATCAGCACAGCATCTGTGGCGCATGCTTTCAGAGAATTATACTGTACCAAAGTTACAGTAGTAGAAAAAAAAAAGTTTTTACTTTTTTTAAAGTTTTTTTTTAATTCAACCCATAGCAAACAAAAAAAAAAAAATAATAATAAAAAAAAATGATTGCATTGCGTTTTGCTTTTTTGTATTCTTTTGTCAAACCCCTTCCCCCTTTTTTACACATCTGGAGTTCTGTTTTTTTTTCTATGCTTGTTTTTGTTCATTTAGAAGGCCCCATATAATAGCAATTGTTTTCTCATTTTTTTCTGTTGATAGGTAATTGATTGGGTAAACAACTTTTTTTTTCCCTTTGCTGACAAGCAGAAAATAGTTTGCGAGCAGTGTGGCTTGCCTCTAAATGTCCAGAGAGTGACCCTAGTGTATGTTCTTTTATTCATTCAGCTTTAAATCCCTCCCTTGCCCCCTACCCCCGTTGTGGGACACTTAGCTGCCTTTTTATCTTGTAAAGCTTCCGAATAAGCTTTATCTAGAATGGGAAGCATGATATACATGAATACAAGCCAGTGTTCCTTTGTTAAGGAAGCTCTCTCCCTATTCTCCTACACCCCACTCATGCTCAGTAAGCCTTGTGGGTTTTTCTGTTTAGATTGTGGAGGGGGGGAGGGCAGAATAAGGCCTTTTTCAGTCTAATGGATAGTCTGACAAAAGGGTAAATTAAGGGGCTGAAATGGTGGCGTTTTCATTATAATACAATTTTTTTCCTGTGCCGTAAGATAATTTTTTTTTTTGCAAATATTTTTCCATTTGCTTACAGTATAGGTCAAAATTACAGTTGTTCTGCTTCTATAGGAAACAAAAATGGAAACATAACTGTAATAGAACTTCTGTAGGTGTAACTAATTCTGAGGAAGAATGGTCTACTTGGCTTAAGCGACTGATGTACTCCACTGATTTCCATGGTAGCAGCTTCTCATTCATCACTGTATTCTAGAATTGCTCTAGGATTCCACGTTTCGTAAATATAACCAATTTTTGTCTTGTACATATATAGATTTTACCCTAACTTTTCTGCAATGTGTGCTTGGATTTTATTTTGAAACAAAGCAAGGGGGGCATTTTTCAGGTCTAGTAAGCCTCACTTAATCAGATTTTGGAAGAAGAGGAGGTTACAAGTGATATGAAGCCAAAATTGAGCTTGGCATAAAAAAATTCCGCTGTCCTGCGTATTTTTTGTTTTTTTTGTTTTTTTGTGTGTGTGCAACTCTTGTAATTTGGCTTACTTTTTTGCATGTTTGTTTCCATTTACATTTTTGTGAATAGATCCCTTTGTGTGCAGATAGCATATTACACTTTTTTTCCTGCAGGTAGCTTGTTTTGACTGGAGATTGTCTGTATAAAAGATTGGCACATCCAGAACTGTCATTAGAAGATATTGGAATCTAAAAGTGTAGGTCAGGCGAGAAAAAGGCAGAACGAGTTTTGTGTGACAGAAACTACAGATTCTCATATGACAAAGTAGCATCCACCAAACCTCCTACAGGATGTAACCCAAGCAGCGGCAAATAACGTGAGAATGGTAAACAAAACTTAACTGCTGCCATGGTAATCCCTCCCTCCGCCCATCTTGGAGTACTGAACACTCCAGTCAAACCTTGTTTGGGAAGGCATTTAGTAGTTATGCAACTTAGGAGTTTCTTGTCAAGAACTTCGATCTGTGTTTGAGGCCCGCACCCTGAGCAGGTGCCACTGCTTACTCTGGCTATTATAGTCCAACAATGAAGCTAAAAGTCCTCTGGTTTGTAAATAGCATGAAGCTCCAGAGTAAATCAAGTAAAGGGTTTGCCTGTCCGTCCTTTCAATTATACACTGTATAGATTCTGAAATTCAACAAGGGATTAGCTAGATCCACCGGGAGATGAGTGTGAAAGGAACACTCCAGTGGTTAAAAATAAAAAAAAACATACATATATTTATTTTTAACTTTGGAGTGTTCCTTTGTTAGTTACGTTTAAGGTCCCCATTTAAAAAAAGAAAAAGTAATAAAAAGAAAAAAGTTGTCAAACTTACTTGTATTTCAGCGCTGAGACAGTCTTGCTTCTGCAGTCCGAACCTCCCACCCATGGGGTCGTCAATTCTGACCAGGGGTTCTCCACCAAGTCCTCAAGGACACCCAAACTGTCCAGGATTTAGGGATTACCCTGCTGTGTCTAATGTGTTTTTAGGGGGTGGGGGAAAAAACACTTTAGGACTTGACTGGGTTGAGAACCCCTGATTCTGACGTTCTCCGTCCAATCAGATAGTTGTGTTATACAAGCACTCAGGACCTATTGTGCCTGCATGGCAATGCTGCTAACCGCCAATCTAATTAAACTTATATAGAAGCATTAACCACAATAAGCGCAGTCATGCCGCTCATGATGATGCCAAACATGAAAACCTTCAAAAATTCTAGGTTTTAAGGAGGAAGTAGTTCTAGTGGTATATTCACGGCCAAACATAAGCATTTTCCCAGAAATCGCAATTCTTTACATTTTTCCAAGAAAAGCGACAAGGCCATTGGACCTAAACCACTACATATAGATGTGGTACTTTTGGTGCTTGGTGTGTCCCTTTAAGACTTGTTTCATTTCCACGTAGAAAAAAGCTTGCGGCCTGTGCTCTAGAAAGATCTTCCTATACAGCAACGTATGTGCTAAAATGCATGATTAACTATTTTAAGAGATAAGCCAGTAAAGTTGTCTGGCAAGTTCTTAGTCTCACAATAGTAACATGCTGAGAATTGAGTGTGATCCAGTAAAAGCTGAATAGAACGGAGCATTAAGTACGCTGATGACTATTAGGGGATATTTCCCTGGGCTTTTATAAACCTCTACTTGTGAGACAAACCACTCAAATTCCAAGGCTGTTTGTGTGGAATCTTTGTATCAAACTGTATGTTAAATAGCTTGTAAATAGAAGTCGCTAATAGGGTCTGTAGAATGTTCACAAAGAAGGTATTATGACTGATTGGTGAATCTCTCCCATTGGGGTGCAAGATCCCTTCTGTAGAACTGGTTTAGTAAGTGACTTTTCTTCCTATACGGGAAATCCAAACCTTATTTTTTTTTTCATTATTAACATTTTAAATTGACCCCTGAACTGTGGATTTGTTCAGAACCCATAAATTATACACTTTTTTTTTTTTTTATCTTGAAGAAAACATGTTTTGTCTTTAAATATAACCTTCTGACAGATGTATTTTTAATATCAGACAGGGAACTCTCTGTCTCCACAAAGTCAACTTGGTGTCTGTTCTTACTTCCTCTTTTAATTAATAATGCTTGTTTCAGCTGTGCAAAAGCTGTTCTTGCTTTTTGGTAAACTTGGTTTGCAATATATAGGAAAGTATGTGTCTACTTGTGTGTTTATGCATCATGTCCATTTCTCAGATTTTTATCGATACTTTTGTCTCCCGGCATTTTTAATGAAAATATTTTTTGTTGTTGTTGGATAAGTGTAGGCTCGTCGTATTGTACAATATTTGCGCGGAATCAAACCAGTATACAATGTGTATTGAAAGTCATTCAGTGGAATGAAGGTATTTTTAGGTTTAAATTCTTGTTTCTCTGGATTCAAACCTGTCATGTGACACAAATATTGTCGTGTTTGTGAATAGTTCGTACAATCTGTATACTTGCATGTTCCCAGTAACATACTAAACATACAAATTAAACTTTAACTAGAATTCCTCTTATCTTTAAATCCCCTCCCCCCCTATTCTTGCTGCTGTGTTATGAATGTTTTTGCACTCGCTTCCTTCGGAGAGATTGTGATTATGCTTACAACATGGCAATTTACGGATTCAGTTTAACATTAATCGTATGTTCCAACAGTCCGGGATCTTGTGAGACAGTCCTGATTTAGAAGCCATGCGCCACCATCCAGGGTTTTTATTTCTTACTTATGATCTCCCACTTGTAAGGTCGTTACAGAGACACTAAAGTCAACCAGATCACTTCATCTCAATGAAGTGGTGTTGGTGCTGTGGCCCTTTCATTTTAACTGCAATGTTTACATTACAGGATTACATCCTCCTCTAGTGGCTGTCTTCCTGAAAAAATCAGTCACATGACGTGGAAAAGATTGCATGCTATTTTCCTATAAGGGAGGTGGGATGTGTGCATGCGCATCAAGTCCAGATTGCTTAGGTTTGTATTCCATAGCTAGTGTTCCTTTAATGACATTTGCCTGCATATCCTGGCGTCTAGGCATCCTTGGTTTGCAATGGTAACCAAATAGAATTTCCAGGCTGAAATTCCTGTCTTTTTGGTAGCCATACATCCACGTCCAGTGATCTACACTGTGTAACTATCATAATGATTCAAATCATCCCTAAAGGCAGGTAAAAGAGTCTTAAACCAAATTTTAAAGTCACAGAGCTCCCTCACCTCCGTAGTTTATACTCAAATTCCAGTCTGAGTGACTGCATTTGAACTTCTTAAAAAAAAAAAACAACAAAAAAAAACAAATGTAACAATTGCTTGCAGACACAGAACTGCCAGAAGTCTAGTGTATTCCACAATGAAGTTCTCTGGGACGGCTTGCATTGTCTGTTTAGATTGTGCATTTGATGGTAGCGAAGTGGTCCCTAGTCTCCACACACAGTGCACAAAAGGGAACACTCTGGACCAGGTTACTGCTGTTCACTGAGCCCTCTCCCCCCATAGAGTTTAGGTAAACTATTGTTTGCAGTTTTTCTCTTACTCATTTGGAGCAGTTACAAAGATCTGGCCGTCTGTGCATCACATGATTGCCATGGCGTGACCTGTCAATAGTGTACAGGTCACTGTGAAGGTGCCCACATTTAACCCCATTTGTCTCTATTAACTCTTTCCTTCATTTTTAGTTTACCAATCTTTTTTTTTCTTTTGTGTGCGAAAGTCTTTAGTAAATATAAGATACTTTAAAGTTACCTCTACTGCAGTAGGCACATCAGGTGTGTGCTTAGTAACCCGTCGTATCCTTTGAGAAGAGTTGTTTTTGCACAAAAGAAAAAAATGTTGCTTGCTGAAGGTGTGAGCAGCAAAACCATTTTTCGATATGTATCTGTTTTGTACATTTTTTGCAGTCTTGCTGTTTTTTTTTTTTAAATTGCTACACAGACACTCCTTCCTGAATGTCTCGCCGTCTCTGATCTAACTCTGACACATGTGTTATATGTGGTTTTCAAAGGTGTAATAAGCAATCTATGAAATGGCAAGTTCGATGTTTCACAACACATTTAAGAAAAATGGAAAAAGTTAGACATGACCAAAGGGCCCCGATGCAGGCTCAATTTTAGGGACTCAAAACGTTGACCCGTGTCAGTTAATGCTTTTTGTCTTGTTTGGTTTTGTATCACGTAAGCAAGTATGACAGTGTTTTTCACTGTTATTTTTTTTGTTAGTTTTTGTTTCTGCATATATTTTTGTTTAGATATTGATCCTTCAAACACTGCAGAAATCAAACAAACAAACAAAATATCTGATATTGTGTTTATGTCAGTGTTTGTTTTTTCTGTCTCAAATTGCCCGTTTTATGATCTGTCAGTTGCTCTATGAATGATTTTTAGTTGAAGGTTGGTGAGCAGTCCCCCCACCCCCCAACCATTTTCTCAGTGGTTGTCCATTTCCCTTCTCTCTTTAGAATTTTGACTTTGTTGCTTTTTCCTCCTTGAAACACAATGGTTAAAGACATTTTCTTTTATACAAAACCCACGCGACAACTGTCGTGTTACGCCTACCCCCAACATGGATGAGCGTCTCGGCTCATAAGGGATATGGCCTGTGGCTGAAAGTCACTTTGTATAACTATAGAAGTAAGTCACGTGACTTACCCTAGTCGGAAAAGTCATATCCTATAGTTCAGCTCTACTGGAACGAATTGTCCAAGACAATGCTTTGGGATCCTGCTAGAGGTATTAATATCAGTGCAATGTCAGCGAAATGGAAATGAGGTGAGGAAACGTTAAGCGGGAGAAAGAGGAAAAGGATCCTTGAAGCAAAACAAAGCAGATATTTTTTTTTTCTATTGACATAAAGGCCAGTGAACAGTGACAGTCGTACAAATAGGGGCTTGCTTAAAAAGTCTGAATATACTATGAAATCCAATAGGAAAACATACGGGATGGGGTAACAATAACTAAATGCTTGTATTAGAAATTCCTCGGACGTAATACATGTAACCCTTTAAGATTTAGGATAGACCCTCATCCGTTGAATCTGAAATAAAAAAAGACAATATAAGTCACTGATAATATAATCTAATTCCACCTAACACAGTTGTTCTATGTCTCATATGTTTTTGCACTAGTGCATGTACAATGAATTACCCAACTTCCCATTGATAAATGAAGATCTATAAATAACTTCAATTAAGGTATATAAAATTTTATTATCTGGAATACTATGTACAGAACCCTGAAACTCTGTATTGTCTTGTAGATCTTCTACGTATTGCTTCTGTGAATCATCAACTAAATATTATTCTTGGGTGTCGACAGCAAATGTTTTGGTGTGCTTTTTATATTTGTGTTGTGTTGCAACGATGATATTGATGTCTGCTTCTCATTCATAATAAAATGTTACGTCAATCCCGTGATCTACCGAAAGAGAACGTGATTTTCACTGGTCAAAATAATTTCATTTTAATTCATTCATTCTTTCATGATGTCTGGGTTGTGCTTCCAGGTCTGGTTATATATACCTGAGACAAGTGACACACAGACAAGAACATGTGTGTTTGTGGTAAGTAGTGTATGATTAATAGCCATGTCATGTATAGATCTTCCTTATTAATAAGGTCTAGGTGGGCAAACCTGTGTGAGACTGCAGGTTCTTCCTAGTTCTTACCGGTAGTACACTCTGCCAACCTTTGCCTGCAGAGGAAACTTCTGTTTGGGTAAACATATCCGCTCTCTGCTACTTTCCTAAGGGATTTTAGTATTCCAAAACATCAAAGTTTCTATTTCCCCTTAACAGCCATGTATGTCAGATGGGTAAACTGTTAATTAAATTACCCACAGCATACAGCCCAGGGCATCGGAAAAATCATGGAACCATCGGTCAGCAGCTTTGCCTCTTGGGTGATCTATTTTAATGTTGGTATACAATTCTCTAAAGCTGACCGTAAAAAAAAAAAAAGGAAAAGGATGAAAATGGACCACCACCATAATATGTGTTCATAGTTTAATATTTTAGTGCTTGTATTACTATTTATTTACAGAGCATGAAGTTTTGAAATATAAATATTCTATATTTTAATTTTGTTTGCCAGTTTCATAATAGAAAAAAAAAAATTCACAACATTAATAATAATTCATCAAAATAACCCCCACAACTGCTTTTTATGTTGGTCTCCTGGCATTGAGTTGCGCCTTTCATAAAGCCATTTATTTAGAGTGAGAAAGACACATTTTGAGAGTACTTCATTTGGGAGGACACTGCTTGTAATGTGTTGTACATGACCTTTGGCAACACAAGGTTTAATAAAGATGACACATCCCTGATCATGTATGCCTCTGACGCCCTCCGCTTCATAAGTTCTTCGTACCAGCTTACGAAACTGTCTCCTGAGCAGGGAGAGGTCATTTGAGGCAGCTGTCTCGATCTGGCAGCCTTCTCATCTCGTCTTAAAGGCTGTCTGGAAGGATTTGTTCCCTTTCTTTTTCAAGGGGCACATTGAGGCAGTTATGAGGATTAGAATTAAAACAAAAGTTCATTTCATTTTTTCCCTCCCCTCCTGGCCTTGGCTTGCTGCAAGACATATTCCCTTTTCAATAGAAAGACTGGAACATTCTGCATTGCAGGCTTTTCCTTCCAATGCCTGCCTACTTCTGTTTTCTATAGCTTCTTGTAATAGTAATCTAAGCATATTGAATTATATTGTCACCAGAGGCCTTTGTCGACATATGAACATCAAAAAAAGAAGAGATATATTTGTAATCCAAGGGCCTTTAGTCTAGCCAGATTTCCTCTCATTTCTCTCAGCATTATGAATCTCTACCAGGTGCTTGTCTCTCTAAATATATCTCAGATATGTGTATTTACATATAAAACACGTATCCTTACCAAGTCATCCTTACATTTTCATTGGCCACTTTATTAGATGCACCTATAGAGTACCGGGTAGGCCTCCTGTTCTCCAAAGCATCCTGAATCATTTGATACAGTGATGCATCTACAAGATTCTAGACACATTCTTTAGAAGTTTGGTCCATATTGTGTACCCAAAGGTGCTTATTGTGTTCAAATATAGAGACGGTGCACCCAAAGATACCTTTGATCAAGGTATTCGGACATGGAGCATTACTTTACTGGATGTTATGATGCCTAGGAATCCTTCCAAGGTCAATTTAACGAGTAGCATTAACATGGGTTATAATAGCCTCCATACTCCAAGAAGTACAAGCTAAATGTACCTTGCTGGTTAAGTGATTTTAATTAAATGTTTTGTGGTCCTGCTGTCAGGTTGGGCCAGTTTGGATGTCTTATACAATCTCTTTATTAACAGGGTCTCTTTGGCCAATTAATTCATATTTTTTTCTTTATTTTGTCATATTCTGTAAATTCTAGAAACACCAGCAGGTCAGGTGTTGTGAGAATTGTTCTGAGCACCAATATTTACCAGTGTCAAAGTCACTTAGATATCGCCATAGTTGACCAGCAACTGAACCTTTCGATCATGTCTGCGTACTAGTCTATTTACATGAACGAGCAGGTGTACTTAACAAAATGGCCACTCTGTGTGTCTACAGAAATGTGTCGTACAGTAAAATTACCTTACTTGGTGATCACTTTTTCTTTTTTTTTTTTGCTAGAATTGATCTGGAAAATCCTTTTGTACAGTTCATAGTGAGACTGCTATCTTTTTTCGTGAACATACAATTTTTAACAGTGGTACTTCCTCTATTCCAATTTTTCTTTCTTTGCAACGTAGCAATGATACTCAGTAGTTTATTATACTGTGCGTTTTCACAGAGAAGCCCTACACCTCCGACAGGAAACGTACGTGCTGTATAATTAAACCTAAAGCAGCTTTAGGGATTAACAGGTCCAACCAGGTAACTATTGCTTCCTCGGCTATAAGAGAATTATCTTTTACTTTTTTTTTTTTTGGAAGCAGGAAGGAATGTTGCGGTTTAAAATAATGAATTAACGTGGGTTTTGTCTACTTATTGCCAGACCTCAGATTGAGATATAGAAACGGTACATGGCCTTTGTTTAGTCTCAGTTCAGTCAACTGTAAATTGAGTAATAATAGACATCTGACCCTATGGGAAAGAGACTGACTGATCTAATTTCTTTGTTGCAGTGCGCAAGGTATTACCAGTCCTTTAGGAGTTATAGCCTGTGATTATGACCATGTGTAGAACAGGCCCCCTTTTGGCTCTTTTGTAGAGATAGAGTGATGTCTTGGAGTATTACGGTCAACCTGTATTTTATTTTGGAAGATGGGGGACATAGCTGAGCTTCCGCTAAATTCAGAGTATACATCATCGATTTCTATTGGAGCAATAAATGCTTTGCTATCAGAATGATATCGACAAAAAGATTGTGTTAAACTTATTAAAATGCTTCATTTTGATGATTTTTATGGCAGACTGACATGGCCATTATTGGAAATTCAAAGTGGATTTCAAATTCCAAAACAGCCAAAATAGGGGGACATGTATGTGTATACATATAATATATTCTGCAGGTTTTTTTGGTTTCGATTATTTTTCACTTTCACCTAAAATTTGAAATTTACTTAGAATCTCCAACAATGACCATGTAAATAACCTTCTTAGCTATTTACCGGCCTAAATAGGAAGAAAACAAAACACATACATATATTTTCTTAACAAAAACACTTTTATTTAACAGTGTATCAAAACACTGCAGGATTTGCCATTTTAAAATACGTTTTCGGGTTCATCTAGCCTGGCCTTCTAATATCACCATTTGCATCTTTGAATGAAACACATGCTGACAGTTAAAAGTGCAAACCTGCTGCCCTCTTCTATATATTTTTCTTCATAATTTTACCATTGTTAAAGCAAATGAATAAGTCTAACAAAAGGAAGCAAATTTATAGTCCTTGGAGAACTTGTCCTCATTTTAAATCCATTTAAATGTCTTGGTTTTTTAAAATTCAGCGTGTCGTCTCTTTTAACAGAGATATTTTAACAAGTTATTTCTGCAGTTCTAAAATGTCACAATTCCCAAAACGAGTTTTTTTTTTTGTCAGTGGTACCGGGAGGCGCAAATTGACCATTCAGAAAGCGTAAGACTTTCCTCCCAGAAATATGTGCTTGAGATGGAACATTTTGTAGCAACATCATGGAGCAGGGAATGATGGGTAGATGTCGATAAAGTAAACCTTCATGCAACTTTGTGCCCTGGAAAAAAATGGAAATGAGGCAGGGGGTTATAACCAGGCAGATTGGACATCTACAGGATTTACCAATTATTTTCTTCTTTAGTTTAAAAAACATTTATTGAGGCCCTTTCTCCATATCTATCCCGACCTGAGCATTCTAGAGATTTGTGAGCATTATTACCAAGGTACAACAAAAAGCAGATTTTCGATCAAATATCACTGGTAATTGACAACATATCCCAGAATCCTTCCGGTGTTTGCACAAAGGCCCGTAAAGACTGAGTGAGTCACTAGCGTAAATGAACATCATGATTCCTACATGAACATGGAGGCAAACCATTCGTTGTGCTTGTTTAAAATCTTGCATGTTTTTTCTATGCATTAAACATACACTTTTAAATTACAATAATGCAGTAGCCAAGTCCCTGAATATTTTCATTAGAGAAAACCCCCAATAAGCCTGTTTGTGTGTGAAACACATGCCATGAATTTACTTGTTACTGTTTTTATGAGAAACCTGCAAGATGGAGCTGTTTATAAGACCTACACTTCAGTAGGTCTGCCTCCTTAATTGACGCCGGGAGCCATTGGGTGTTTAATAGATTATAGCTGTGTCTGTTCTAACCCCAACACAATGTTTCTTAGAGGCAGCAGTGAATTCGCTGCCCTTAGTCAATTAAGACTTTTTCCCCCCTTGGTGTTAACTTATTTATAGGCAATGTGCATGCTGATTTCAGTAAACAACTTCCTGTCACCATTTCTAAGCAGTAAAAATTATTTAACACGTCCCAGCTTTGCAGAAGGGAGACATTCTGCCAGCCACTAGTAAAACGGGATGTTAACACGTATGTATTGCGCCACGGCTTAAAACACATTCAATAATAACACAAATAATGCTCTCATAACGGTAAAGGTTAAATAGGTTCCAGAACCCATTGGAACCAAGAGATTGTGGTTCAGTACCCTGGGTTTATGGCGTAGCAGACACATTCACAACTGGTGCAGGACTGGGCGGTGTTCTACAATTTTGTGCTAGTTATATCCAGAATCGTTGGAAAAAAAACAGGCAGAGCTTTAATGCATATGGAGCCAAACGAGTGCTCTGCAGAACAGGCTGTAGAATAAACTATCTGCTTTCCTGCTGCTTAGAATGGCTTCTCCCTTTCTTCTTTCGGCTTTTGCAATGATTGGTAGGAAATGCAGGAGATTCTGGTATATGAGGTGCTCTTAACCAGATGTGCACACTGGGAGTATTGGATGGATTTTTGTGTTTGTGTCTTTGTTGCAGCTGCTAAATGTTTGCATCATGCAAGACCTTTGAGTAATATCAATGCTAAGTCAATGCTGCATGGGTTAAACCAGCAGTCATTCTGCCATTGGAAACACTGGGAGTCAATTACAGTTGTGCTGCGCATGTACAAGTGGCTCTCTTTGCATGCACAAATGCGAGTGTAAAACTGTACATGATCTACTGCTTTGCTGACAAAGCAAAACTGTTGACAGAGAAACAAGGAGGTGTACATTTTGGGGGGAAAACACATGGGGGGAGTAAACACAGATGGAAATAGAACTTCTTATACATTTTTGTACCATGTGAAACTATATTTTTGTATTCTGATTGTGCACTTGGAGTGCCCTTTGAATGCACACACCCTCATTCAAATGTAGCCTGCAGGAATTAAGGGGTTAAAATCGTCGACTTTTTGGCTCCAGCAGATTCATTCATATGGTTTTTGTTTAGGATTAGGATGTAAATTACATCAGCGTAATATATAAACGGATATATCAGCCCTTCTGTTGGCCAGATGTTGGAGAGTTAGAATCAGATTGGAGGGGGGCAAAATGCAGGGGGAGAGCCATTTGTGCAGAGGATTTACTGCAGTGCCTGGAGCGCATTTGAGCAGACAGGGGTGCAGGCATTCATTATATTGACAAGGCCTGCAGAAATGGAACCAATAACACAGGAGACACATGCTTTCTCTGTTAATTTTACAGGAAAAATATATATAAAAACTCAGATTTCTTGGTTTGGTTTTGTACAGATAAAAAAGTGTAGATCATTAATATGGAGTAACAACATTATGCTTGTTTTTTAAAATTTAATCTTTTTTTTATATATATAATTGTGATTAGGCTTAGGCAGCCTTCTGTTGGCTAAGAATGACGAGTCTATGACGGATCCCTGTGACTGAGAGACTACAAGAAGCCGCATGCCTTAAATGTTTAAATATTTATTTATTTACAGCCACTAGTGAGCTGTGGCATACCATGTAGGACAAAGTATGCGAAACTGCAAATTTATAGCATTCTGTTTTGACTTTTTTGAATTTTGGGTTGGGGGCTGTTACTATGAGAATGTATGCATTTAAATTGAGTATTCTTTTTTTGTATTGAATACGTCTACCATAGGGATGTTCAAATCTTGATGATATCTAGTTCTAGATCAAGAACGTCAATACCAATATCCCTACTCAAGAAAAAGAGTTTTCCTAATGGTTGGTGGATCTAAACCCAAATTATATTTTTTAAAAAGCCAGAAGTCTCTTATGAAATATCCTCTGATTCTGTGGAATTTCCTGGATGATTTTATATATATATATATATATATATATATATATATATATATATATATAAAACTGCACATATAAGGTATATTTTATGCTGTACTCTGTAGAATAGACATTTATTGTTATTTCCATGGTGATACTATTTGCAAAGTGAAATGACTCCTTTAAACTAGCTGCAAATAAATGGCTGTACTTTGAAAGGAAACATTTTATTGGCCTGTTGGAAAATGGATGAAACCCTGGAGCATTATGGTAGGATGGAATTGGAACAGAAAACATAAAGCTACAACTCATATATCAATTGACCAGAGACATTTATTTTTTCTATTTGAGCAAAGAATATGTATTCCACAAGTTACACCTGAATTCCACCATTAGAATCTTCATCTGAAAGTTAGGTGACTGGTGAATGCATCCTGTTCATTGTGGCAGCCATCTTGATGGAGGAGTGTTTGGGGAGATTTATCAATATTCTCTGTTCTAAAAAAGAAAAAAAGGTTCTAAAGTGCTAAGAGTGGGGCTATCACCATGGAAATTCGTGGAACCAGCAGGCAAGTCTGTTGGTGACTCCTCCCCTTCTACATATTTGCACCTATTTACTATTGTAGCACTTTCTCGCACCTTCAATCTTATTGAATTTGGTAAAATGTACCGTATATACTCGAGTATAAGTTGACCCGAATATAAGTCGAGTCCCCTAATTTTACCCCCAAAAACTGGGAAAACGTATTGACTCAAGTATAAGACTAGGGTGGGAAATGCAGCAGCTACTGGTAAATTTCTAAATAAAATTAGATCCCCCAAAAATTATATTAATTTAATATTGTTATATTCAGGGAGGGGGGGCTCTCATTCCCTGGTGGTCCAGTGGATGGGCTGTGTAGGAGGGGGGCTGGCAGAGAGCTGTAACTTACCTTTCCTGCAGCTCCTGTCAGCGCCCTTCTCCTCCCTGCCAGTCAGCTCCCTTCTCCTCCACTTCAAGTCTCACGGTGTGAGTGACCCCGCGGCTCTCGCGAAACTTGCAGTAGGTGCTGACCGGAGGAGAGAGAAGGGAGCTGAACGGAGCTGCTGTAAAGGTAAGTAACAGCTCTCTGCCAGCCCCCAACAGGAGCCCGGTGGTCCTTGTCTGTATTATGGCAATGTAAGTTGCCATAATACAGACAGTGACTCAAGTATAAGTCGAGTGGGGGTTTTTCAGCACAAAAAATGTGCTGAAAAACTCGACTTATACTCGAGTATATACGGTATATTATATTTTCCAAAACATACTTTGGTGCCCTAACATTTAATGAGTCTTCTGGTGGCAGTATAGATAAATAAGAGAGATGGGCCTTTCAGTGTTTTGTGATCGGGTACATTAATTCTAAGGCTCTGCCTCCTGAATGGCCATTTTGATTGGATTTTTTTCTTCTTCATTTTTATGATGGCGAGAATGAGATGAGGTAATAAATTTGTAAACACGCTGCAGCTGTTTTCTGCTGATCACAGATTGTCACAATCACTAAACAAGGTAGTGAACTCGCTGTCAGTTGTGTTTTCTGAAGGCTAACATCAAAAAAAGAGTTATGCAAAGGGTAACCCATCTAGTCTAACTGAAAAATATTGGGTCAGAGAGAAGCCTCTTCCACTAGTCTCTTGGATGTGTATTGGTATATGTGTGTGGACACACACATTAATTTTTGATGTTTCGGGAAGAGGGCATAAACTTCTCAAATCAACTGATTATGCTTTGGACTTGATCACTCGTGAATTGACACTTTGTAGTCTTTTGTCTTGCATATCCAGTCTTGGTCTTGTGAAGCCCACATCAAGTTCTTTGCAGATGGTAGACTGAGACATTTTTAAAGATCTGGGTCCACTGGCGTTGTTTACAGTTTTATGTGAGGTCAGACGGTCACTGGGTGACAGGGGGCAGGGTCTGCCATCTGGCAATCGTAAAATAACAGGGTAATACACATTTTTTTTTTGGGTGGGGGTTATGGGAGAGGTGTTGGTAGTCAAACATGCAGCTGACTTGTCACTAGCAGACAGCTTTTTACGACTCTTTAAAATCTTCGATGCTGCACATTGGGTCAAAAGTTCATATTGTCCATTCCCCTGCTCCTTTAGAGATAAAGGGTGTGCTAGCAGGGGCTGGAATGCAGAACTTGCAAAATAGTTCCTTAAAGCTCCCTTCTTTCCTTCACAGATTAGCTCATTTTGGTTGAGGGTTGAAAGATAGGATCTGGTTACTAAAGCTCTTGAATAAGCAAGTTCAATGTCCCATCTTTGAATTAATATGGTAGAATCATGTATAGCTCCCTCTTTCTCTACATGTTGGCCAGGTACGTCACATGGCGACCACCATATTTTGTATCCCTCTGTCACAGTGCAGAGTCAATTATTTTATTCATGTGTTATCTGGTCACGTCACGTGACTCCCTCACTGTTTGTAGGCATTAATCGTACAGAATATGGGTCTTCAAAACCTCTCCTGCAAATGTTTTGATGTCGGTTTATATGTCCTAACGTGCCCTCACTGTGGGCCCAGTTTCTTGGCTTCCATTCTCAAGTTCTGCCATATCCAATTCCATTTGACCCCAGGATATTCCTTCTTTCTGAACCTATTGATTTTGTACTCAAATCGAAAATAAACATTTTATTTTGTATTGCATTAGAGACAAGACAAGTGACGGCAGAACATTGGCATTACTCCCCACTGGAAAATTTAACTGCCAAACCAATGAAATTTACTGTTTCACAGTTCCTTTGCACAATACCCCAGCACATTTTACAAATTTGTGGAGCTCCTGATTTTCAAACCAGCACTTTGTTTTTGACCCTGTTTAATGTTTCTGGTGTTTTTTTTTTTTTCTTTTCTTTTTTTTTTTTCATCCATGTTTTCTGATTACAAAACCTTCAAATGAGCAGAGATTTTGGAATGCAAATTCTACATCTGTTCGGTGTCATTCTGCAACGCGACTTTCTGCCAAATTCCCTATGTACTGCTATTTGCAATTTACAAATATACAAATTTAGCATAGAGGCATACAGGCTCTTTGCACTGTAACCCACTTCACTGAGCTGTAGTGGTTGTAATGCATGAAGTTCCCATTTTACATCCACCTATAAAGAGCCGTCTCTCGTGAGCTCATCAATTCTATAGTGAACCAAATAAACATTCAACTTAATCTATCTAACGAATAACTCAATATTTTATAGGCCATATCCATCAAATATAAACATATACTTGAGAATTTGTTTTATTATACACTTTGTATTGTATTTCATATACATTTTGTATTAAGTAGCATATTTTTGGTATCAGTTATCGTAATCTTTTATCTTTTATGCTCTCCAAAATTACGGAACTTCTATAACATGCAAAACGTTTGGCTCTGCTAAACCACTTCTCTTTATAAGCTTCTGACGTGCACTGATGACCTTAAAGTTCTGTTCTTACACAGTACTTAGGGTTTCTTTGGTTAAATAATTGGACTTTAATAGGTGTTATTGTTTCATCTACACTTCTGATCAAAAGCAGTTCTTCCCACACCCCCACCCACCCGGTGTGCTTGTTGTGTCCATTGCTTGTTAGTGATTGATGTACTCTAACTATAACTATCGCTATTTACCTTTCAATTATGCCTTTATGATATACCCTGGCCCTAATATAGTTTTTTGCTTTGTCCAGTAAATATCACACATTTTATATTTAATTACCAAATGCAGGTGTGATAGAATGCATCCTTCCTGTTCTCATACTTTAAATGCTTAATATCTCTTTTTGTTCACTAATTAATTATTGCATGCATTTGAATGAATTAGTTTCATGGGAAGGAAAGCTAAAAATGTCTGCTAGGTGCTGTGACTGGGTCACTACATCCATTTATATTTAGAAATTATAATTTATATGAAATTACATTTCGTCTTTCCATTAAAGAAGCATTCTAGACTGTGCGCTGTATACAGCAATGGTCTGCTATTTAATCCTAAACTATTCAGGAGTAAACAGTAGACAAGTTGGATAGGTGATCTCAGACCCAAAAACTCTGATTGCTGTCTGGAAGTAAAGAAATCCTTCTCACCTCCCCCTGTAAGGAAACTTAAAATCTTGGCTAAAGTTCTTTGTATAAAATATTTTAGTTGGTTTTACAGGGATTCTCATAAAGCTTCAACATAGTCTGTAGGGCTGTTCAGTTGTTGCCCACTATGCACATGGTCTCTAGCACTGTTCACTATGCTTGAAAATAGAATGTAACCAGATATTTGTAACTTTAGTCTATTGAATCCTTTAGAAGTGGCCTATTATTGGAGCAGTTAAGGAACTTGTACACGCCGGGGAAGTTCTGCAATCTATGTGGACCAGGCGCATTAGTCATTTCCTGGGTGTTCAAAGTACAGATACCAGAAGTACTCAAAGTGTGTTAAACTTTCTGTACCCTTTCGATCTTGCTCCACTCAGCTGAAATCCCCATTCTTTTGCAACTATCCCCCCACCCCCGGGTGCTCGTTGGTAAATTTGTCTAATTTGAATTTTTTTATTTTTTTTTTAATAGTACACAGGTTTTTTTTTTTTTATCTTTAAAATGAAAAATAAATTGTTAACACTTATTGTGTGTCATTTGTGTATCATTTATTTGTTTATATATTTACATTCGAATTTTTATATTTGTTTTATGCATGATCTATTGAGATGGTAGATGGTTTCCATTGTGACATTGTAAATAAAGTTTCACTCTTAATTCATGCCCCAACCCGATCAGCCAATGCCCCAATCCGATGCCATTTTAATCAGATCTATTTTGTGAAACCCAAAGCTTGGGTTATGTATGTTTCTATGCAAGACCCATGAAGTCTCTGTTTCGTTCCTTCTTTCACCTACAGTAAAGGATAAAGTTGAAAAGTTCACCACCCTGAGTTTATGTTTTGTTTTTGGTTTTATTATCCCCATTTGTGTTTTAGAGGTGACCCGTCCTTAGGCCATCAGACAGGTCAGCAGTTGTTATCGGTTTTACAGCACTGTCTGTCTAAAGGACAAGTCATCACCATTCATTTATTTATTTTACAACCAATCCTTTTCAAGGATCCCATAAAATACTTTTCTCCAATCAACAAATAAGCCCAGACAGGACTACAAAGAGAGCCGGGCTCTGGGCTGCATACATCATTGTGATGTTTCTGACCCTTTCGCCTTGGTTTGCACATGTGTATCAGTGTCTGGGGTTAATACACAAAGCAATATTTTTTGGGGGGGAGGGGGGGGACCTCTGTTTAGGTTTATCCTACAGAATGGTGTGTGTGTAAAGATAACTTCGTACCTTCCTCAGAAACTGACAACTTGGTCAGGGTTTACTCTATGTTAGAATTCTACGAAATGAGTGTGATAGGGGTTTTATCATAACAGTAGCAGTAGAGCATTAAAAGACTAAGTTTTGAATTGTGTGTATTTTTTGTCAGAGATTTATAGTACATTTCCTGTGAGGATAGAATGGTAGCCAATTTCCTCATGACTAGTAGTTAAATGCCTTTGACTAGTGAAAATCAGTGATCTATATCTGTCTGTCTGACTCTTTAAATAAGTCTGAGTGTGACTGAGTAGGAAAGAATGTTCACAGAATCCATTGAGAGAGAATTGGTCTATAAACTACACACAGTCTAGTAGTTCATTTCAAGATGATTACATGTTCTAACAAAACCTTTTTTTTTTCTTCTTTTCTTTCATATTTCCCATTGGTCCTCCGCTGGATGTGGGTGAACAGGTAAGACTAGCTTTTGTCTGTCACACACCTGCACACACATACATCCACTCCGAATATTTAACCCCCTCCCGTTCACTGCAGAATGCAAGTTATTGTTCCAAACAGCTCAAAAATAATCTTTTTTCTTAGAATTTGAAAAACAAAAAAAAAATTAAATAATGTGGCTGTGCAGCATTTCTAAGTCCTTTAACCCTCGCCAGATAATCTCTTTGAGCGCATCCACCATGTGCTTTGATGGTAATAGCCGTGTACAATCTAACATAAGGCACGTCTCTGAAAAACATTACAAAGGAAAAGTAGTGGAAAGCTAAAAATACCTAATAATAAAAAAATAAAAAAAAAAACCCCAACAAATACTTGACATCTGTTCACCACCATTCCTACTCTGAGATCTTGTGGGAGCGAACACAATTATTTGGTATTTTTCTCTGTGGAAGGAAGTACATACTGTAATAATTACAGCATTTCCATTCCCGAGTGCTAGTAAAACGCCATATAAAAGATCATAGATAAAAATGTTTGGATATATATGAGAGGAAAACTAGCTTTGAGGAGATCCTTCTGACGTGGTAACAGAGAGCTCAGTGCATTACCTGTGAACCCCTAAAGTTCACGCAGTTCAGCAGTCGTTAGTAGTTTCAGTCATAAAAAAAGTAATGAAACTGCCCAACAAGTTAATATCCAACTTAAAAACATTGTTTACAGCTCACCTGAGTGTGGTTGCTCTATAGGCTTTTGTAGAAAGCAAGCCCATACACGCCAGAAACCAGTTTAAAAATTGTATTGTTGATCAGATGGTCGTCCGAAGGGTTTGAAGAGTATTTACTAAACCCTATACGGCATGTAAAAGGTTAAGACAAGGGAAAGATTAAACAGCTAATACCTACCTTCTGACAAGGTGGGAGTTGTGCCGAGATATATAACCTTTTATGAATAACTGGAGACTATGTCAACTATGTTGACATGCCTGTTGTTTGAAAGAGTTGTAAGCTTGAGTTATAGGAATGCAAAAAGTACAGTGCTGACTAAATATTGAATTAACCTTACATACTTTTTGTGGTTAGGCTCAGAGTAGAAAGATGGGGCCATGCAGTCATCCTGTTCTACAAAGAGAGGTGTTAAGGCGCCTCTTTGGCAGAAAAAGCAAGCTACAATTCAAATGTCTGTCTCTAGCATCACCTACACAGCATGTTTCTGTACAAATTATTGTGGATGTATCAGTTTTTGCTTTTACTGTATTTATTATGGTGAAATGACTGTAATTTGCCCGTCTGTGTCACTACTTACAACAGCAGAAGTTATCGACCTTTGACAGGTGTAGAAATGCCAATGTGGTCTGTATGTGTCTATTTTGATGAACCAAATTTGAAGGCTGAAACCGAATTGCATCTCACAATGATTAGGGTTGCGCTTTCTGTTGTTAAGAAGAAATCGAGATATCGGTTAAGTGCCACAAAGTTGCGCCAACTCTCAGCGAAGTTTATTGCAAATGTTTTCGTTTGCGTATCTTTGTGTGTTGAGCGGACATTTGTTTAGATTAGGGTGTACGGTACCTCCTGTATGGAAGGAGGTTTTCTGTGAAGAGGTCATCCGCTGTGTTTTTCTGTGCTTTAGGAGTGAAGTGTATCTTTTGGTCAAGTTCATGTGTTGTCTTTCCTGTGAGCTGTCATAATGAATCCAGAATGTACAGACATCTGCACTGTGCTGCGTCCTGTTCTGTCTGCACCTTCTGCAAATATTTCCTGTGTTGCAGAACTTCCCAATTTTGCTGGATTTTGCCCCTTTCCAAACACTGTTTCTTTCATCAAATGATTCATATTAAAAAGAAAAGTCTCCTCAGAATGAGAAATGTGGGACAGATACATTGGATAACCTCCGAGAGCTGCCATGACAACCAAACTTTCCAACCAGATGGTTCCAAAATGACACAATGGTGAAGGAACGCTGGGGTCTAGTGGGATATAAAATGGCTTCATATGTTAGCTTCAGGCAGCATAGGTCACTCTGCAGTGGCCAATCAGACGCCAGTGAAATTTTTTTTCATATGAAAAATGTAACTTACATTAGCTCAGTTTTTATATATTTTTTTCGATCTTTCTTCCCCTCCCCTTCCAGTTGTCCTGTAAAGCTTGTCTCATAGATGATGTTGCCTGGATGTTAGTTCACCACCTTTGTTGCTAACAGTCGTCGTAGCTATACAACTCTGTTTGCTTTTCTCTGATTAGGTATTCCATGCTTGTAAACCTGCATTTAAAATGCCTCTGTTTGCTCAAGGTTTAAAAGTGTCCTGGTTTTGCCTCAGCGTTTAACCAGCGATATCCCTGAGCGGTTAAACCATCAAGTTAATCATTTGGTATCTTAAGCCTCTGACATGATATAAACAAAGTCTTTTATAGGTACATTCTTGCCAGATCTCATAGTATATGTTACAGTAGTACCGTAACATTCTTTCACGTTTAACCCCTGCTTAGCCCAGTATCAAGACATCTATCTCACTTGATTTGATTAAGTTAAAACTTGAATTCGGGGCCTTGTGGACTCATCCTTGTATTTTGTAAAATAAGCATCTCTCACAAGCCTTGTTGCTAATTCTTGTACTTTTCAACCCTTTGATTTATCAGTAAAAGCCTTAATTATAGCTATAAAACCCGATGTCCCATGCTCCCCTGACAGTGAACAAGTCAGAGAGCATGTAGAGGGCAAAGGTTAGAGGTCAGTTTTATTCATTGAGGTTAAACAGAAAAAACGCAGACAGGCAAACATCTGAGGTAGATTGAAGCTAAAACTGCAATTGTGCCTTTTGTTTGCAGTAATCAGAACGCTTAGCCTCTATGTTTCTCTAAACATACATTTACTGCAAACTTATTGTTATTATTTTGATATATAGTTATGTCTCTTAATAGTACTGCAGTAGTTCACATGGTGCTGGTACTTTTATTATGTGGAAAATTTTATGTTTTGTTTTTGTGAAAAAAAACTTGGCTTTATAAAAATACAAAAATAAAAATAATGGAAAGATATGGGTACTGAGATAGCCAAAGATATTAAGATGGACAACAAAGATTGCGATGAGAGGCCTAGGAGAAAACTACCCAGCATGCAAATTGGATACATATACATTAAACTTTATTTTTAAAAATTTGTTTTCTAAAAATGCAGAAATCTTTTGGCGTAGTCAGTACTGCCCACCCACTTTCATTTCATATTTATATACCATCTCTAGGTAAAAGAAACAAACAGAAAAATAAAAAAATCTTGTGGTTCTTTGCATATCTTATTTCCACAGCATTCAGAAAAAGGTTGTTTTTTTTTTTAAATGGATTTTCAGTGTCTCTACATTCACTTATTCTCTCCTCATCCCTCTACATTCTCCTCTGTTTCAGTCATTGTCCTTTGCTCTGAATGGAGATTGATCTGTAAAATCAACCCTTAAAACCAAAACTTTATTTTCTTGTATCGGAAGGTGAAAGTGTAGATATGTTGCAAGATACATGTCATTCTTCATTTTCAGTTTTTATCAAGACTGCCAGCATCATAGTAGGTAGCGAATAAACTGGACACCACAAGCGGCAGGAAATATTCCTTATAATCCGTAGCCATCTGGTCACCTGGCTTTTGCAATTATATGTCACTCACCAAAAGCAGGTCACTTTTTTCTTTCTTTTTATTACAATGAGAATTTTGAATTGAATACTTTTAGTGCAATCATAGAGAGGCAGACCTTTTAAATTAAAAAATCATAACATTTTTAGTGGGAACATTTAAAATTATATTTTGAGCCTGGTAGGGATTCGGTAACAGAATTCTGTGATATTACAATTTCCCCTAATTCTCCAATCCCATCCGCCCTCTTTATCATTCTTTTTATAAATAAGTAGCGCAGTTTGATCGATCACTATTTGTATTAGAACAATAGGTTACTTTTATTCCCCACTTCCTTCTGTGGTTTCGCGAGATTATTCTTGATCCCAGGAGGTCTGGGTGCCTTGGAAATGTTACAGAGGGAATTGTTTATGAATGTAAAACACATCTGTGATGTCCCAATTTGTGTGCCTGCATTTTGAAACAAGAATTCTAATGTTGCGTTTTCAAAAGCATATTTCCCCTCTGCTGGCATCTATCCTGTTTAAGATGATGTATGTCTGTTGCCTACAATTTTGCTGCAGTGGTAGTTACAAGAATTAGGTTTGCCAAAAGTTATCCCAACCAACAGATCCTATATCCAGCTCTCTAATTGGTCTCGATAAGATAATCCAGGCCAACATTCCGTCCTGTTTTGAGACACCATGTGGCAGGGAGAAGATCTGTCTTGCGACCTAGGGCCCCAAAAATGCTGTCTCAGGCTTGACTGCAGTATTGTGATGATTCATTGAGATTAGGGGCCCTTTAATACTATGACGGGCACTGTTGGTGGCTATCTTTCTTGAGGAAGTGTGATTCATAGTGAGCTCCGGATCCTCGTGATACAATGTCTCTTCAACTGCTTTTTTACCTTTTAAGTCAGCTGTCGGTTAACCTGTTGCAATAATGTTAAATAGACTCAGACACCTGGTTTGCCCAGCTCCCCAACTGTGATCAGTGTTCCGTAATCTACCAGGAATTTTATATCTGCATCTTTAGGAGTTCTGATCCCAGCCTTGACCAATTTATCACAGAACATAACGAAACATATATTGTAGTTTGTAGCAGTCTTATTTGTCTACCAATGCAGATGCCAAACTAAACATCGATTGCTTAGAATACAAACAATAAGTATATAATAAAGTGTGTGCATATGTAGATTTTTTTTCTGTCCTGAATTTGTACATATTAAAAAAAAAAAAAAAAAAAGTTAATTCTTTTTACCAAACTCCCATAGAGTCTTAGCCCTATAGAACTGGGTCATATGTGTGCGTTGCATTACCAGTTTTAGCAGCCTACTACATATTTAAAATGAATAAAAAAAAAAAAGGCTCTGTACCGTCAGGAAGCTGAGCTGTGCTACAGCTTTAAATGATTCTACTGCATGCGTCAGCTGCAGGCGGCAGACAGTTCTGGCAGACTGTGGGGAGAGAGGAGGAGAGGGAGGAGGCGTGAAGAGGTGGTGGGGAGCAGGAAGAGGAAGGAGGGGGCACAGAGGACAGAACAGCCACAGTCTGGGCTTCCAGCCTCCTGGCTAGACTGCAGAAACTTATAATTGAGTTCCTGAGCTGTTCCTCCCCTCCCTGCAGCTCAGCTGAATAACACCCTGGCTTTCAGCCATGCCCTTTCCCTGTGACCTTGCCTGCAAATAGCAAACAGGAATTTTTACAGGCAATGTGCACTTGGGTAAGAAAAAATAAATAAATAAAAAAAATAAAACCTTTTTAGAAGGTGGCCTAAATGACAGGAGAACGCAACTTGGTTTTAAATTGGAAAGTAAAAAAGAAACATTGCTTAATAACTTCCAGTGTATTTATCCTTTTTTTTCTCTCTCTCTCTCTCTCTCCTACGTTTATTTCTCTTGCGGTGACTGTTCTCGGCATGTTACAGTCTAATTTTCGGTATGTGGCACGCCGACATGCATAGTGACATTGTACTGCAGACCATCCTCATTATGTATAAAAGTAGAAATGCAAATATCGGACGGCCAAACCGTTTTTCTGCTTCTGTTCTCCACTGTAAATGTATATGGCAATAACAAAATAACATCTAAAATGTATTCGCTGCTTTTGTTTTCATTCCTATTCTCCATTCATGTTGTTTTTTTAATTTATTTTTTTGCCGTTTCGTGTCCAGGCCCTTTCACTCATCTCATAAAGATGAATGATAGAAATCAATGTGCATTATTCTCCATCGATTCAAATTTAGCGTTGCCTGTACCACTGCTATTCTCATATACTTTTTCCCCACTATTAAAAATTAACCCAACTCCTAATTTGATCTCTGCAATGCAGTAGAACTTCCCGTCTTGAGGGATACCGAGGAAAGAGTGGTACATTATTGTAAATGCTTGGTTTGGTAGGATTAAATTACTGTTTAAATGTCCTGACTCTCTTTGCTAATATTCCAACGTTTAAATATGTTAACTCAGGTTTGCAATTTTGGTTCCGCACGTGGTCATACCAGCCCTTCAGCTTTCCCATGTCAATAAAGTGAGTGCCATTGAGTTAGTAAAACACTGTATTATATATAGCCAATCTCCTGTATGCTGTTAACTATAGATATTGATAACACAATCCTAAACCACATCCGCGGTTTTAAATTGGCATAATGCGGGCTGGAAAGATGCCTGTGACTCACAAGGGCAAGCCATTTTTTTTGTGTGTGAATGCTACTCTCAGAAGACTCGAATTTCTTGTCTGCCTACTCCGTGAAAATTGACTCTCACACGGGCTGCAGGGCATTCTTTAAACAACAACAACCTTCGTCTGTAGTGAAAGGTAAATATTGTACGCGCAAGACACGTACTACGGAAAGAAAAGTTTGGAGTTGTTATGGAGAGGACATTAAATTTTTTTTAATTCAGTCAATACAGGATATGCCTGAGAATTAATTGTTTCCCAACCGTTGTGGATCGTGGCCCACTATTGAGAAGATATCTTTTTCACTGTTAAGAAAAAGGCTTCTTCCAGCAATCTACTGCAGTATCTCCTTCCATGCCAGCTTTCTGTCCTTATCGAGATGCACAGTTATTAATGCAGTGCTAATGCTATTACGGTTTTCAGCAAAGAGATACATTGCTCAATTTTGAGAAGCGCGGTTCAAAGCAAATGGAACCCTGATGCTGCCAAAGGCATACACTATGTTATTTTTCATGCATTCCGTATAAAACCACTTGGGCGCCAGTAAATTGTGCAACCTTTTGCAAAGTGTTTCCCAACCTACTGGCACCCAACAGGTCATTGTTACAGTATCTCGAACATTTGCGTTTCACCCCCCCTTCCCCCCTTTGTATAATTTAATGAGAGCAGCTCTATAGCTGTGGGATTCCTGACATTTGCGCTAGAGCTGAGCAGAGCAATGTTCCTTGTCTCTGAACATATGGCATCCCAGCACCTGTTTTAAAAGCACAGTGAAGGCTCAGTGCATGACTGACTGGTGATCAGCAGAAGAGGAAGTTTTAAATCCATTTCCCTTGATCCCACCTGACTAACAACCTGCTCGGCTACTAAAATTGGCTAACACAGCAAGCTCCCCTGGTGGGGCAAAGAGTTGGGCAGAATTCCTTTGCATACTGAAGGAAGGCAATACATAGTGTGCATTATAAAGGCTCATTGTATAGAATATAGAATGGATCAAATCTAAAATAAACGTATCTCAATGCAAATTTGGGATTTGAACATTGAAACACACGTCAAAAAATTCAGACAATCTAATAAGGTTTAGGTGTCTAATTCATCTTTTTTTTGTCCCAAAAAATTAAATTACTTTATTAGTTATGTACAATTCACAGTTTTATGAATAAATCTAAAAAAAATCTGCTTCTATCACAATATTTGTTTCAATTTAATTTTATTTGTTCCACATGCGAAATGTGAAAGAATGTGCAAAATGACTCGACTACATGTCCTCCTTCCTTCCTACCTCCCAAAACCAACATCAACAAAAATAGATTACATTGTTCACTGCAGAAAAGAATGTGTTAATCAGCGCGCTCTTTGATGTTAATCAGAGGCCATAGTTAGTTTCTGTATCAGATAAAATAAATACTTACTGTTCTCAGTACCCTGAGAGAAAATCATTGCTCGGAATGAATTGTCTCACAGTATGACATGAACCAGTAAATTGTGTTCAAATCAGGTTGCATTAAGCCATTCCTATACTTCTTGCCAAGTGCATATTAGTGTCGCCCCTTCGAGAACTGTGGACATTTACAGATAACGACAAATTAATTCCCTCAAAGGAATATACTGGTCTAAGCAGAGGTGTCAATACCAATTTAGCAGAGGAGCTTAATCAATACAAGATCTGGATACTCTCACACCGCCTCCCGTAAAGTGCATCCCTTTTATATAAAAATAGTGAAATATTCTTTATTTTAAAACGTCCTTTCCGCTGCTGAATAAAGAAAGCTCTGACTCCCCCATGGGAAGATGAATAATTGCATGTGGACTTATCCGGTCAGAATGTCATTTTTTTCGTAAATGGGAATTGAAGGATTTTTTTTTTTTTGTAGACCATTAGCCTTACTTTAGTCGTTCTGATCCTAGTAACCCCTGCAAATGTACTTTATTTAGATCCTAGAGATATATTGCATGGCTCCACTGTGGGCTGTTAATTATATTATTATTGGACCGATATGGTCTGGGCGATGGACGTCTGTTAGTGTTGTTTGTATTTTGAATGAATAGGAGGATACATTTGACTGTAGTCATTTTACAAAGAATCCTTTCATGGCTTCCTGTGTACCAAATCACCCCTAATATAAAATACTCTGCTCAAAATCTGTTAATTTTTTAAACTAACTTTGTCTAAAAAAAAAACTGGGTGTATGTAGTGTGGGTTCCCATTTTTGTTAACAATAGTTGGGGTGGGGGAGGGGAGAGGGCTAATCATGTCTCTTTAACGTTTTGTCATTTGTTTTTTGGAAATAAGTGCTTGAAATCAATGGCAATTACAATTGCACCCCTGTAATCATTTAATTTAGCTGTCATTTAGTTTTTAAATTTTACAGAGAGGTATTTGCTGTTCTGCTGCCTTGCAAGTTTTTCAAATGGAATCATGTAAATACGGTCTACAATGAAAAGAGAAATGTTTTCAGTTAGCGGGGTATGCTTTTGTACCGCAGGAATTTGTTTAGTCTTCCTTGTCACAAAAAATGTTTGATTATGTCTTCCCAAACTACATTTTTTTTTTATTATTATCTTTTGAGCTTCAACATGTTATGCAGCGCTATATCATCTGAGCATAAGGACACAGTACAAACCTTATTAAAGGGTGACACAGTCTAGTGTAGTGGACCATTTTTACTTATTCTAAGTCTAGTATGGAGGCTGTTGAGGGCTTGCGTTATGTAGGAGTTAATTAAGTTACACAGTGCTCTGTAGCAAAATAAAAACGTAAAGGGCATTACCGGAAGTGCTGAAAAGCATTTTTGATGATTATGTATGGCATTATGGTATACCAGGAGATTTTACACTAGGCTATAATTTTGCAGCCTTAGATATGACATTGCATCAATATGAAAATCATAAAAAAAAAAAAATGTTAAAAAGTGCCCCAAACTAATAGCTAACCTTTGGTTACTAAGTTGTGCGAAAACCATAGTAGACACTCTTGAGTTATAAAGTTCCCAGTGGCTGTTGAAGCTGGCAGGCAATATTTTCATTAGTTTAGCAAGAAATGTGTCCAGTGATGTCATCTCAGTAACACCACCCAGAATCTGGTTTGACGCACTATCAGGTAATGATTACCCTTCGCTCATCTTACAAGTGAGTACAAGAGTAGCAGGCGAACGGCAATTGTTTAACTCTTAATGAATGACCCCACGACCCTTTGCAAGCTGTACAATGCCTGATGTTGATACTTTAAATTCCAAATTTAAAGTTGCAACTTATATATACCGGTTAGTTATATAGTTACAGCGCACAAAAAGCAAGCCGGAAAAACATTGAAATACACAAAAAAAATCTTTCGAAAGATAGAAATGTCCTGAAATATTAGGTTTTTACAACTCAAATAATTACAATATTATTTATTCTTCAATTTTTTTTCAAGTAGTATCTATAGCGCTTTTGTATTTAAATTATTTTAGTGGGTTTTAAAATGCCTTAAGTACCGTTTAGCCTATTGTGTGAATACACTCTGACTTGTTACTTGTCCCTGTTTTGCAGTTTGGGGCCCCTCGCAGTAATTTTGGTGCTGGGCCAAGCTTCCTCTTCTATCTCTTTGCTTGCTCTCTCCCTCCCTTTTTGGTTGCCAAGAATGTGGAAAAATATAATAATAAAAAAAAAGAAACACAGGAAATGCCTCTTCTTTCTCTCTAATGACATCCCCAGCTGCATTCGGATGGGAGAACTGGATGTGAATTTCCAGCCTATTGGTGGAAAGCTGCTTAGTTGCCAAATCAGACTGGTCCATCTGAACTTTGGAGCTCTGTCTCTATAAATTTGGCCATTATAGAATGTTATGTTGAAGAAAAGTGACATCAGATTTTTCTTTTTTCTTTCCGTGTTCCTATTTTTCAACTCATACCAGAATTTCTGCTCACTCGCTGATTGGTATCTGATAGAAATCACTATTTTTGTGTTCGTCCTTTAGTAATCCCAATGCTTGTCTTACAGGGCAAGAAAGGGAGACAGGAGAAAAGACTGTTTCCCTATGTGAGAGTTCAGATCTTGCAGGGTTATTGTCACGACTTACCTCCGCTCTCTCTGCTCCCTCGCTGCTCCCTCGCTGCTCTTGCTGTAATCGCCACAGCATGCAAGAACACGTGCATGCATGAATGCAGGAGGCGGACCCAGCCCCTAAACTCTGATCGCGTCACGTCTCTCAGGCAACAATAGAAGCATGGGAGACCAGCACGATTGTACCCCACCACAGGACAGCGCGGCTGTAACACAATTAGTGATTGCAAGCTCCTATGGCAACCCCAAGTAAATGACAGCCACATACACCAATAGGGTGTTATGGAGGCTGTCAAGTAGGTGCACCTTTTGTCTGCAACCCAATTAAGCCTAGAACAGCTAAGCTTTCATTGCTCAGTTGTTCTGTGCTACTTACCTGTTATTACCTGTGTTCCTGTTTTACCTGACCTTGGACTGCCTCACCGTTGCTGAACCTTTGCTTTCTGGATCATTGGATTGACTGACCTTGCCTCTGCCTAGCCTTTGCCTCTGACTTTTATTTATTATTTTCTCTCTGCCAGTACAAGTTCTGCATTTTGAATTTCACACATTTGCTAAAGTGGGAATTTAAAGTGAATTCAATGTAAATTTCACACTAAAAGAGACACTATAGGCACCCAGACCACTTCATTTCGTTGTAGTGGTCTGGATGCAGTGCCCCTGTCCCCTTAACCCTAAAACGTAAAACACTGCAGTTTTAGAGAAACTGCAGGGTTAAAACAATCGCTAGTGATTTTCTGGAAGACAGTGTTTCTAAAGTTCTAATAAAAAGGCTTCAAAGGCCATCGGTTGACAGACTTTAATTCCAATGATCCACTCAAGGTCTGGCCATTCACAAACATCTGTAGAACTTTAAGATGCCTGTGGAGAATCTTCTGAACGGCTAGAGACCTGGCTATTGAATAATTGGCTAACTAAGTTAATATTAGTTTTAATTATTTAGTTTAAGTTCTTAATCTTTTAGTTATTCGTTTGTAAGCTGGAATTGTTCTGTTGAGCATGAAAAACGTGTCTTACTGAGAAAGCTGCCGTCATAGTATTTAAGGAAAAGAAAATAGATGGACAATGATAATTCAGTCTGGAATTTAGCCTTTTTTTTGTACGTAAGCTCCAGACAAAACATACCAGTGAAGGAAAGAACACAGACGTTTGTTTATGACTTGCAGCAGCAGTTTAATGGACTTAAATCAAGAATGTACGATGGGAATGGGCCACAGCACAAGACAGAGGATTTATGCAAGATTTTAGTAGTTTACCTTTTTTATGTTAAAGGAGCCTTAACACACAATTCACACAGTGTGGCGTGGTATTTACTCCAAAGTACATTTTGTGATTACAGCTCCCACAGGAGACCCTTGGACTTACAAAAAAAATGATGAGCCATGAATTCTAAATGTGATCTATACGAAATACTCTGTTTTTAAGTAACATAATCAATATATTGGCTAATATTTGGATTGAAGCATGGTAGATGTGTGTAGTAGGTTTTCACTGCATGTGATTTGAGGAAGTACATGTCGAAGCACCAGGAATATCCGTAACACCCTTCTAAGAGGGCTATTTACTAAATTGGGGGTTTAAAGTGAATTTCAAATTTAAGGCCAGAGTAGTCAAACTAAAAGCATTGCTGATTTTTCCCAATTTGGCTATTTTGACCTAGACTTTGGAATTCACTTTAAATTCTCACTCTAGTGAATAAGCCTGTAAATGTTTCTTTAAGTCATATTGACCTTTAAATGCGAAGTCAACCGCAAGATAAACCAACTGGTTATCAGTCGTCATAAATTTTTTTACCGTATAGTTTTGCAATGTATGGGTTAGTTTGCATGGCCTTGTAAGCAGACATTTCCACTAAAGTTCAATCTATGGAAAGATACATCAGTATTTTTGAGCGCTGTCTGTTCCACTGGCTGCCGGTTGAACAATACCGCCAAGGGTCCATCAGAGCTTTTCAAAGTTGGATTCTTCCCCCCCCCCTCTGTATATCATTTCAAGACTAAAGCACTGACCAAGCATTGTGGCATCCCATATCTTGGCGTCTTAGCATCCCACTTTTTATTTTGCTACCCAACCACAACTTCTAACAGCTGGGCAGCGTTCCTATTAAAACATCAAACAACTACCCTGATTTTTATGGGCTACTGTCTCCTTACGAGCCGGCGCTTTTAAAACCGTCATTATCTTTTAGGGCCGAACGATGTGCAAGTCGGAACATACATGTTAGCTTTACAAACAACAAAACACAAAAGTTTCACATTCGCTTAGGTGGACCTTGGAAGCTTTGAGTATATTTGATATACAACCTCTTTTGAAATGTGTATTGTAAAACCCAATAGCAGTTATTGAAACGGCTGGCATTGGACATTTTAACTACTTCATTGCTGGAGCACGCGGTAAAGCATTTAATCGTGCTCAGGATCAATAAGAATAAATTATCATCTGTGCTAGTTGACCTCTGTCCTCTGCTGTGCTAAGGTGTTCCTCAACAATATAAAGTCCTTTGTGGCTTGATAGAAGATTTCTCTAGTGTTAAATGGAAAATAATCAAAGAATTTCAGACCTGTGGGCTATGTTTTAATCTGGGATCTTTGTTTTTATTCCCTCTTCCATCTTCTGTTCTAAAAGTCATCAATATGTGCATCGTGGTTTCTTTGATTCACGTCTGACACGATTTTCTTCTGTGTGCACGATTGACACTATTCTCATTACCCTCAGCCGGTTTCCTTGATTGATGGAAGTTGTAATGCAAGTTGATTGAAAGAGACTGCTTGTCCCTGTTGTGTGTGTGTTCATATCCAATGTTTTGTGCATTCTGACATGATCTGTATATAATTCTGATACCATGTCAGCATTCAAAAATGTTGTTTTTTATATTCAGTTTGAAACAAAATATGCCTAATTTGTATTTTTGGAATTATGCCCTGCTTTCTGATATGACATGTGACAATTTGGGGCAAACGATTATTTTCCACTTTTTTTTTTCTCTGCTTTTGGATTTTTTTTTGGAGGGGAGGGGTGAAGGTTATAAAAGAGTTCTGGATTTAGGGGATAGTGGAGAGAAGACTGCCTTATGCAGTAGCTAAATGGGAATTGAACACTTTTTTTGGTATTAATTTTCTAAAATTGAAAGATCATATCATTTGTAGAGTTAGTTGGCTAAAGAACATTTCATTTTGTTTTTTTTTTTTTTGTTTTTTTCAAAACCATTTTTGTTACCTTTTATATTTTTAATTTTTTTTCGGTTAGGGAGTCATCTCTTCCATGCAGTTTAGTGGAGTGAAAGGCAAGTTTGTGGCCGAAATGGAAGCAGCTACTTGTAGTTTTGAAAATAGAGCTTGCTGACTCCTATAGAGTTCTCATGCGCATTCATCTGTCACTATTAGAGAAACACTGAGGTTCTAATGAAATGGGGCAGAGGCTAGGGAACAGAATGTTCATTTAATAGAAAAGAAAGGAATTAATTGGAGAATACCTCTGCAGGTCACGTGCGCTGGCACATGCACTTGGTCTTGGGCGGTTTTGCTGGGCCAGCTCCGTGATGTTTTTTTCTTAAGATGAAGTTGTCTCAGACTCCCTGTTATGTCGGTTTCTATGGAGAGTGAAAAAGAAACACACAGCGCCTGCCAAACCTGGGAGGGTACAAGGAAAAAAAAAAAAGAGAAAAAGTACATGAAAGCTGTAAGGAGCAAGGAATCTAATAGGAAGGTGCTAGGTCTTGGCCCAGCATTTTGTCCTTGCTCTTGTCTGATTTTCAAGTGCTAACGTGGGTGCTTCCTGGGATTTGATTGAGTACTAGGTATTAGAGCAGGTTTTCTGTAAAATCCCTGGAGGATCCTTCAGTCCAAATACAACTTGTACTTTAACTCTTAACATTAGCACTGTATATGTGTGCTGACAGATCATCATCTTCCAAACTCTTTTATTTTTCTTACCCATTTTCTACATAGTTCTACAATAGGCAGCTTATCCCAAATATACCCTCTAGGTTAAGTGTTATGGAATTTGCTACAATGTTGCTGCATGTCATTGTTCTGTACTAGGAAACAGAAGAATCATTGAATCAACAGAAAATAATCAGACAGGCATGCGTTCATTCCATGCTTTGGAGAATTCCCATCTGCCCCCTTTTCCAATATGATAAATGCATGTTTTCTTTATTGTCGAGCACCCATTTATTGTGTTTGAGCACCAACTGGTTTACACATGGGTTACCAATAACCATCATTTCAAAGGGTTAGGCTAAGTCAATGAGATTACAATGTAACCCTGATGAGTGTGCCAAGGCTTCACCAGTGGCAGGTAACTTTTAGGTCCTTGATAATAGCAAAGGACTTGAAATGTACCACTATTTACTACTACTCTTGTATTTGTTGTAACGGTGCACTTAATTCTTTCACTAAACAATCTTGCTCGCTCCTCCCTCTACCAAGTATGACTTTAAGTTATACAATATGTAAAGTAGCTCACCGTTTAGTAAATATAGCCATGCAGTTATTAGCTACATTGACCTATTTAATTTACGTTTTGAATAATTTGGATGAAGTACACTGCATATTTCTCCCATGTTCTCTGACAGTTTATGAAATATGACTCAGGGCTGGACTCAAATGTAGAATTTATTTTTTACGTAAACCAGTGTGCGCCTTTTCTGCTTTTTAAAAATAATAATAATAATAATTTGGCTTAGGATACACTTTGTTCCTGTTTCAGATGTTGAATTTTAAAGATATCCATCTGCACTTGTTTTTATGTTACACACTCTCTCCATTAAGCCATGTTTTATTCCTGAGCTCACGTAATTTTGCGCCAGAGCCTTTAGCATGTTGTTAAATATGTTATTCAAGGATATTCGCATCAGAACATGAATGTGTTTTCCTTAGAACACAGTCCAAAATATACCCTCCACCTCTTTTAGAAAGGCCGTGGCTTGGATAGTTCCTTCTTATTAAATGATGCCTCATTCCCTCTAGAATATTTCCGTGACGTGGGCTACAGAGAACTTTTTTCTTCTTCTCCTTCTTCTTCAAAGATGAGAGGATTTATTTTGGCCTTAAAGTGGTGGTGGATTAGCAGCAAACTCAAGATTCAATATTAACTCTGGTCTTAAGGCCAAATTCTCTTGCAGTCCCAAATATACATCATTGTTATTATCTAGAACGCCCACACTTGCAGACATCCATAATTCCTATGCGCATGCTTGATCATCTAGTAACCTAATACGTAATTGACCCCAGAGAATGTTGCACAAAGCTGTGAATATGGAATGTGTCTTTGACATCTTACATAGTCATCGTACATAGCCCATGCACCAACTTATAGCGTTTTAAATACTGTCGGAAGGGTGTTACTTTTTCAGATTATTCAGCTTTTAAAAGATTAATTATTAAATTTAAAGAACCATTCACTGATTCATATGAATTAGAAAACCTTTCAAGCAGAGATTCTGATTGGCTGATGATGTAACATATTTTCTGCAACTTTTTATGGACTCTTGAGAGGATGAAAATTGTTATGGAATTGTAAAATATGTCTGCCTTCACATTGAAACGTATTTACAGATTTCCATTTGGTAATTCTAACTAAATTTACTGAGGTTTGCTAATAAATAATCTGCACTATTTTAGGCTGATTTATAGAATTATTTAACGTGACAGTGCCTCTTTCAAATAGACTCTAAAGGATGTTTGTTTTGTGTGTACACTATGTCTTAATCCTTAAGGACACATGCCATGTGTGACATGTCATGATTCCCTTTTATTCCAGAAATGTGGTCCTTAAGGGGTTAAAGGATGTAAATTTCATTACATGTAAACAAATTGTGCCTTTAGCCATACATATTTTAGTTACTCTGTTTTTATTATGAGCTGTGAAAGATAGACTCCCCAAAAATCTTGAATCTGTTTTTTTTTTTTTTTTTGTGGTTAATAAATGCTGTCTTGCAACAACAAAAACATTTCTAAAAGCCTACAGTTTATGCCGTGATTTGGAAAAGCTCACACTAGGCTGCAGAAATTCTGTACAAAGTTCCTGCTTTTCCATTTTTAATTTCCATTCCATTCCATAAAGGTCAGTTTTGGAACGATCGCGTAATGAAAGGTGTCCTCTGTTAGTACTTTGCTGTTAAAGACAATAGTCTCTGTATATATCATCCCGAGACAGGATTGCTGCTTGTTCCTGGCTTCTGTTTGGTTTTGAACTAGCATAAGGTTGAAACATCCTACTTGTATACACCTTGGCTTTCACAGATGTTAGGATTGCAATGTTCTCAGTCGAACGAGGCTAGTACGTCATTTATCAAGGTGCACTTGTGATCCAAGAGTAGGCAGTCACCGGAGAGAGCCAAATGTTCCCCTTAGTAAACAGAGGCCTCTGCCTGGCAGCCAGAGCTAGACTATGGTTTATTTTTATTTCTTGGAATTCAACAGACACAAAATCTCTGCTAAATGTTAATGTTTCAAAAGACGCTCAGATCAGCATTCTACTGCGGCGGCCTGAAGGGGAGGGTGTGTGTGGGGAGAGAGAGATGAGAGAGAAGGGATTACAGGGAACTGAAAATCCAGATTGATTTATGGGGCTTTTTATTCTTTTAGCACCTTTCACTCTTATGCTCTAAATTCAGTTTTATTCCCTTGTTCTTTCCTCACCTTGCCTTTGGAGGAGAAAAGAAAAAAAAAGAAAAAGAAAAGCTAAGCTAAGCTGATCAGAGCTTTTTTTTTTTTTCATACTGAATCAAAAATGTGGCGTAAAATTGAACAGACAGGTTGAACAACTGTCCAATTATTCTATTCATTCCACTTTTATTCACAAAGTTGAAAATTGGTGAAGGAATCGGCCTCTGCTTTTGTGTTGCCACGGGAAACCTTTTAGTGGATATTTGCAGGAATCTCACGCTGAACCGAAGCCTCCGATACTTCTATCCCTCTTCTAGTACTTGATTACTCCCTTTTTATGGTAACCTAAGTGAAAGCCAGATTCTTGTTCCAGCTATTGCAACGTGGTGTCAGCTAGAAATATTCTAGATAAAATTATCTGCAAAAAAAAAAAAAATGGTTGTTCACAGAAATTGGCTGTGAAACACTTGGGAATGTGATGTATACATTTGCTCGCAATTAGCCAGGTGTGAAATACAGAAAACATTCAACGCCTTCCAATGTACCTTTTGGATGAACTGCTCACTTTAAAATTTAATTGTCATGTCTAAGATAATATCACAACGCAACGGTGAGCTGAATGTGGGTTGACCTAAAAAAAAATCTCAAATGCTGTAAATCACAGTAATCCCAATATGCAGTCATGTTGGCCTTTGAGGGTTCAAATGGTATCATGACAGGACTGCCCTAGTGCACATGCATGCGCATGGAATTAAGGAAGCCCTGAGTGCCAATGTGCATGGGGCTTACCCTGGCGAGATATTGGCATAATATTTTTGAAGACCTGTGAGAGTAATCGTCACTTATTCTTCAAATACTTCAGTACAGTTTACCAAGGTATGGAAAAAGAACGTGTTTTTTTTTTTTTTTTTGCTATCTCAAAGATAACTGTTCCTCTTTAAAAGGAAAAGGCAAAAAACAGAGGAAAAAAATAGGAAGAAATTATGGAAAGTGCCAAAATATATTCTTCACGCACATAATAAATCAATCATAAATATAAAAATGAGTACCATTCGACTGGAGAACATCTATCCTAAACCCCCCATAGTCCTTTTGTAGCTACAAATCCAAATCCAGTCAGATTTCTGATGTGTAAAAACCTTCTCAAAGAGGCCTGTGGAGGGCAGCTGTTTTTTCCTTGAGTGCCCATTAGGGGAAGTGTCACATGAAAGGATAGTCTTTGCTAACCACCTCCTGACAGACCTGATCAGGAACATTACATTTCCTTGCGGGTCCTACATTAAGCAAGGTAATGAAGTGAAAATGCCAAGCCTTTCTGCTAGTCAGTTGGAAAGCTATTATTTTATCCATCTATGAAAAGATCAACTGCAGGTATTTTGATGAATTGAGATGAGTTTTTTGGTCCTTCCACTGAAAAAAAAAGTATTAACCTCATCAGCCATGCATCAGTTCGGTGTATGAAATTTGTGACACCTCGTTTTCAGTTATAGGTCAGTGAACCTTTTCGACAGTTTTTTATGCATATAGTTTTTTTTCTTCTTCTTTCTAATGGAATTATTTGTCTAAATTGTCAATTATTTAGATATGAAGTTATTCAAACAATATATAGATATGGACTGGATTTTAATATATAGAGTGAATCCATGAGCCAACAATTCTGCCTTTCCAAACGTTAAGTTTCAAAATCTACAGAGCAGCAGCATGAGCATCCGGCCAATCCCAAAGGACCGATGTTCCACAGTTCATAATATGTGTAGTTGTGGAATGCTGGTGTGTTGTTTAAATGTTGCATGAACTGTCTAACCATGACAAGAATATAAGCCGCATTCCGATTGGCTGCTTGCTGTTCTCATTCTATCATAGGCATACAATATATATATATATATAGATATATCTTATATATATATATATATATATATATTTGTCTCCCTGTCCCTCTTATGATTTTTCTTCTTCTAAATTCTTGCAGAAGTTAAGTGAAAGAAAAAACACGTCCCACAGCGCTGACATATCTGAACTTTCAATTTTTCTGTGCGCCTTTTCAGATATTTTGCAAACATATTTAGTAAGGTGTCAGTAATCATTTAACCTTTCTGTGATAAACCATCCCTTCACCTGTCTATGCTATGCCCCGATACAGTCACATGGATTACATATTTAGATCTTCTGTTGATCTCTTTGTTCATAAGAAAACATCCTTACCATGTCATCTCTGTAACTGAAGGGTTGGATAGCCTTGACAGTCTCTTCTGATGAAATGTGTTCTGTTCCACTCTCTCCTCCCATTTTGTTACTTCTTCCAAAATGTTTCAGTGCATCCCCCTATTCCATCCTTCTAATTCCTTTTTTTGTGGCTACAATAATTTCTTATTCTCCTTCAGAATATTCTGCTGTAATTGACTTGCAATGTATAATTCATCAACCCTCGGTGAACCATGAAGCTTTTGTGATACAGAAAGAGACCTTGTGAGAATTTACCAAATAAAAGATTTTTGTTTGCGTAGAAACTTGACAAGCTTGTAGAAAAAACTAAAACGCAGGAATGCCTTCCATAGTTCACTGCTTACTTAGTAAATGCTAATTCCAGCCCTTGATGTTTTTATTTTTTTATATTTCTTCAACTATATGGCTCTAATGTATCTAATAGAGATATTCACCCTTTTGTATTTATTGACTCCATTATATTTGGCAATCGGGAGTTGGCGTAAGGCTGGTTGACTACTTTTGCTGTGAGTCATTGTGAGTCTCCCCTTTCATGGAAATGAACCCCACAAAAATTTAGGTACCATGCATCTGTAGAAAGAGGTATATTTAAAGGATCACTATAGTGTCAGGAAAACAAACTCGTTTTCCTGACACCATATAATCCTTAGGTCCATCCCTCCCACAGGGCCCCCCTCCCGCTGGGCTGAAGAGGTTAAAACCCCTTCAGCCACTTACCTTAATCCAGTCCCGGGCTCCCTTGATGCTGATGACCTCTCCTCCCCCTCCAAAGGCAGCTCCCAAAGGGAGCCGAGTGCGCATGTGCATCCAGAGCCGCGTGAGCATTAAAAACACCAATAGGAAACCATTTCTCAATGCTTTTCTATGGACGTTCTGCATGCTCAGTGCGATTTTTGCATTGAGAGTCGAGGAAGCGCCTCTCGCTGCTGTCAGGGAGACAGCCACTAGAGGCTGGATTAACCCTGCAATGTAAACATAGCAGTTTCTCTGAAGATGCTATGTTTACAGCTGCAGAGTTAAAACCTGGGGGACCTGGCATCAAGACCACTTCATTGAGCTGAAGTGGTCTGAGTGACTGTAGTGCTCCTCTAAGTATGTTTGAAATGTTGCCTTTCTAATACATCCGATTTGGAAAAAAATAATTAAATTAAATTAAATAAATAAATATATATATATTTATATATTTATCTCCATATCATTAGTGACTGTGTGTTTGAGCAACTCTCATCAGTACAGTGTGTCTGCTTTATCAACCAAAGGGAAAGATGATAAAACTATGTTATCAGTACAAGAGAGAAATTTTGTTCCCTTTTTCTTGTCTTTAGAAACCTTGCAGGCTTCTTGAGCCACTGGAGAGTTAACTACATTGAGAATAATGCTTTAGTTACTAATCGTGCATGTTCAAACATACCAACTCTTTTTGTTAGATATCACAGGAATTGTATTAGGTCTGTAGGATCTTTGACTGTATCCCCCTTTCTAGCATTGGATCGCTGCTTAAAATCATGTCTGGCGACTTGCTGCACGCACTTCCGTTTTTACTGTTAATTAAGTCCCACTTCTCTCTTTGCAATGATATTATATATAGATAAGATTTTCAGAGTATCAAGTCATCTTGAGTGTTGTTCGTGACTGTGTTACACGTGGCAAAGCGATGCTAAAGAATTTTGCAACTGCAACATTTGACAGGATTTAGAATAGCTACTGTCTGTTTAAGAACGTAGGACATCACATTAGCAAATAGCTTTGCAATCTCTTCAAGCGGATGCAAGAAAAAAAAACCCGAAAACAATCCGATAAGATGGAAGCTTCAACCTAGACTGCTGACGCCAAACATATGGATGTGTAAAATACAAAGAATTTAAAGTATCGTTTTTCTTATTTAATGTAGTGTGCAACGCTAAATTATTTGGAACAGTTAGGAGCGGATATGTAGAAAAATTGTCCAAGAGAAATAAATCTTTGTAAACCCTTCAAATTAGGACAGGAATGCCGATGATGTCAGATCTGTCCATATGTTCTGAAACCCCGGTGTAACGGGGAGTGACATATTCCATCCGGATACTATTGACTTGAAGGGTGCGAATACGGCATTGTGGCTCTTGCCTTATTTAAATGCTTAGTGATGTTTTTGGACTAAGGTGGTGTACCAATGTGACTTCACAATTGTGTTTTTCAGTAGAACAGCAGCCCAGTATCTTGCATCCTAGCATAGACGTATTAACCACTATTCTATTCATGTATCATAATTTTAAATTATGCTAATGAAACAGATATTTTAATTAAAACCAACAAATAGCTGTGTTGCCTTAATTCACTAGATTCCGAAGACCTACGTCCACCAAAAATGGCAAAATGTACATGCAGAAAGGTTGTAACGCCGCCTGGTTTAAAGTGCCCCTGTTCTCTTAGTTTTCTATTGCGACAGAAAGCAGTTTGAGTATCCATATATCCGCGCACAAGAGCCACACTTCCTTGATGTTAATATTAAAACATTCCCTTTTAATTAACTTGGATTCCTAGTATATAAACCTTCCAAGAGCTGCAACCACAACATCCTGTGTTTCATTCTGCCGTTTTCATCTTGGGCAACATTTCCTTTAATCCTGAATGGAAAAGTTTGCTGTCACATATTGATCCTTTGTAAGGAAGGGCAAAGTGCCAGCGATCCATTAACTTGTATACCCCACAACTTTGGCAAGTCATGTCTCTGGAATGTCTGATGTGAAACAGCCTCTTAGGCTTAAAAGAAAGGACATATTTTGCTGTAAGAGAAAGCATTCTATTCTATATGTTTTTCTTTGTGTTTTGAGGGGGTGTAATGTGTATCAACCTGTTTTTCACAAATATTATTACATATATAAATTTATTAAAGATGATTTTTTTACTATATTTCTTTAAATACACATATGAATTTTTAGTTTATGTTGGATTCCAAGTTCAGTAATTAAATAAATTGTCCCCTCTTTCTATTTACCAAATTCTACCATGGTAGTTTTTTTTTTTAAACACGTGTGTGTGTGTTTGGGGGTGGGGAGATCAACATTGGCTCACCCAACTCGAGCTTCCTGAACCACGGCCCCTGCCGTTTTAGCTTGCAGTTTCTATAATTGGATGTCATAGAGTTATGGGAATTGGTCTTGCCAAATTATAACATGCATCCAGCTGGAAGTTGCTTATTGACGCCCTCAGTAGCATTAGTTAATAAGACATAACAATCTCAATGCAGACGTGTATAGTTAAATTTTTCAAAGTTGTCGGAGTTGCATTATACTTTATAAACATCTGATTTGATTAAATTAGGCATCATCTATCTCTGCTCTTTTTTAGTCTTATTTGAAACAGAATGGAACTTAAGTGGAAGAAGTTTGTTAACGTGCATATTTATTGAAAGTTTCCCTTTTGGATACATTGCACAATCCTATATGTCCTTAAGGTTCAGAATGCCCAAGTACAATGATGTTGGCCTGAAATATTCACCATGAGATTTAAACAATCTCGAACCAGTCTTGTCTTGTGTCTCTTTGTAGTTAAATTATACTATCATTCATTTATTATGTCTGGTCATCAGCTTGAACAAAGACTCAAGCATTGGTGTCTTTCCCATTCTAAAAGAATGCTTTATTGTCCTTTGTCTAGCCATTTACCTTACATTGAACTCTTGTCCATTAATAGGGCTCTGATGACCTTATGGGCTGGAACATTATGTCGTGGTCCTCGCACATCCACTAGAATGCTTCTGAAAGGCAGTGACCTATCCTCACCTCTCCCTGTCTCCATAGTGCTATTGTTGTTCATTCTAAGCCTTGATTTTTCATTCTGTTTTCTGTCTCCTTAGGGAGATGATTTGTTTTTCTCTCTCTACTCTTTCAACTTCCCCTTAGACAGAAATGTCATACACATTCACTAGCATGGTTTTAATTTTATTGGTGGCTGAGATTTGTTATATGCAGCTAATTAGATTCAGACTAGTTGGAGTTAAATCCTATACAGTCTTCCTAATGTGCTTGCAGTCCTCTCTGCAGTCGTTCTTTATAAAAAAATGTATTTCAGCATTGTTTTGCATTTTTCTAATCGCACTGTTGCTGCCTTGACTGGAACCACCCACATAATTATGGATTTCACAGAGTGTACTTCCCTATGGCTTAATTGGAATACAAGAGGTTCCGACATATATAGAAGGCGCAGTCAATAGGAATATGACTTGGGTCCTTGACCGCCACAGTTCACCTCTCGCTCTTTGCCTCTCCACCTAATGTTATTTCGCACCCCTTGCTAAATGTGAGTGGGCTCCATTGTTACCAAGCAGGTGTGAGCGTTGGACAGCGTCCAGAAATAACGTAGAGACAGAGAGAGAGGCATGTTGTCGCCAAACCGTTCCACCACACATGGAGACTGCCTATTGATGAATCTCTGGCAAGGGTCCAGGCACCCAGCTCCCTCCCCATCACCCCCGCAAGGCGCGAGCGTACAGGAAAAAAAAAATGGCTAGACAGAAAAATTGATTGTTCGTGTAATTTGATTTGACATAAGGCAAAGAGGAAAGAGAGGACAGGAGAAAAGCTGCAACCTCAGCACGGCATTAGCAGAGCCCTTATTTCTCATCAGGAAAGCATACTCACACAGTCTTTACCAAAAAAAAAAAAAAAAAAAGGGGGTCAGAGGAATCTCCAGTAATATGAGAATGAATGGAACTTCTGTAGTCTAGGAGACACTGTGGCCGTATTCAGAAAATTCTCCCTTTACCAGCTCAAACAGATTTTGTTGAGATCACACATTATGTCAAGATACTTAATGCTGGTCAATTTTATAATCAGCCCTTATGTAGCACGTTCAGATAAATTGTAAAGGGTTGACATACTGCAGGATTCCAGTGATTCAGACACGTAGATGTCTCAAACAAACCCTACAAGACAGAGCGCTTTAGTTTCATCATTTGGGCCATGCTTGATGTTTGTAAGCAGAGAATACAGCCTAGATACATGATGCATTTTTGATGTCGAGATTTGTGACGGATGGTTTTCATTGATAGTATTAAAATGCTATTAATAGGTCACGGTGTGTGTTGAACAAGTGTCTCAATTCCAGTTGACAAAACATTTGTTTGTGTGTGACATTTAAGCAGTCTTCTGCTTTTATGTGATTTGTAGTGCTTTAACTGGACTGTGACTTCTCAAGAAAATAGCAGGATGCTTTGCTGAAAATAATGGCGTACCTTGCCACAACGACTTAAACTACATTTCCCAAAAAGATTAGCCAGCCTTCTGACATGGTATCACAAGCAGTGTAATTCACAAACCTAGGAAATGCTGTGATTAACATAATGAATTTCTAGTTAATTTTCAATGGAACATATAGTGGCATTTCTCCTTAAATGCTGAGTTTATATTATGTATTGTGAGTTATGCGTGTATGGTGGTCTTGCACATTTTTCTCAATAGGGGCTCAGCATATTTTGCCTGCAATGTTTTTTCTAAAGGGACGCTATAGGCAACCAGAACACATCATCTCATTGAAGTGGTCTGGGTGCACTATCCCGTGTTAAGACTACATTAGGGGATTCCTGCGTTTACACAGAGTATGACTAGGTTTGTATGAGGACATCCAGCATCTTTAAATATTTCATAGAAAAGCTTTGGGGAAGGCCTAAAGTGTGCGCGTCACTCACTGCACATGCGCCTTAGGTACCCCCGTCGCTAACATCGACAGAAGAAGAGTCCGACCCAACGACTTCCAACGATGGACATCAGTGCTGGAAATAGCGAAGTGATTAACTGGGGTGGGGGTGGGCTGCAGAAACAGATGGACAATATACTGTAAGGAATACAGCTTTGTATTACTAACACTATTGTGTTGTATCTTAATTATCCTCTTGATGATCTTATAAAAAATTGTGGCTGCAACTTAAACATTTTCCTTCAAAATTAAGCCCTGCACTCAAACTCCCACTACTCCTGGGCAACGGCAATGACTATTTTTTGTTTGCTTTAAACTTTCCTTTTGGCTGCGTCTTATGAATGAATATTATTTATATGATTATTACTGTTATGTTATTATTAATTGGTGTTTCATCTAGACCGTACCCAGTTTTTTGCAGGGTTTCCAGTTGATGAGATTATGAAGCCTGCTCGCCCATTCACCGTAGGGTCTGCAGCCGAGTATCTCTGACATAAAGTTCAAGGTGATAATATGTAAACAGCAGTTTCATGTTTCCTTTGGAGTTTGCACTTGCAGAAATTAGTAGCTGTTCTACTACAAGCCCTTTGGCGATAAATACATTCCATACGGAATGTCCACAGAGGACAAGAGTCTGAAGCGGTGTTAATACTCTAGTATTTGGCTTCCAGTTGCTTCTAGTTGTGTTAGTCAAAGGGTGCGACGTAAATCTATATTGATATGTGTGAAGAAAACAAGTCAATAAGAGGTGCAGAAAGGGTTACATCCCAAGCATTTCTGGTGAGGCTAACTGCAGGGTTTGATTTTTAAGTGGTGGGGAGAAAACAATTACGTAGCTTTTCAAAATGTTCCTTTTGTGTTTCTGCATAAAATGCATGTCCCATTGCTGCCCTTACAGTGAAATCCATGTCTAACTCCCACATTACCCTTACACACTACACTATATCCTTTATACTACCCTAATACACCACACCACACTACACTACCCTAATACACTAACTAATACACTGCACTATACCCTTTACACTATCCTAATAGACTACACTATACCCTTTAAACTACCCTAATACACTACACTACCCTAATACACTACACAGTATATTTTACACTACACGAATACACTACAATAAACAACACATTATCCCCTACACTACCCCAATACTATGCAATATCCCCTACACTACCCTAACTCACTGCACCAAACTTCACGTTAGCCTTTGCATTACCCTAATACACTACACCAATCTACCTTAATACACTACACTAAACTGTATGCCCTACACTACCCTAACACACTGCACTAAATTACACATTAGCCTTTACCCTACCCTAACACACTGCACTAAATTACACATTAGCCGTTACCCTACCCTAACACACTGCACTAAATTACACATTAGCCTTTACCCTACCCTAACACACTGCACTAAATTACACATTAGCCTTTACCCTACCCTAACACACTGCACTAAATTACACATTAGCCGTTACCCTACCCTAACACACTGCACTAAATTACACATTAGCCTTTACCCTACCCTAACACACTGCACTAAATTACACATTAGCCTTTACCCTACCCTAACACACTGCACTAAATTACACATTAGCCGTTACCCTACCCTAACACACTGCACTAAATTACACATTAGCCGTTACCCTAAACTATCACTAAACGTTATCCACCACACTAACACACTACAGTAGACATGATCCTCTACACTGCCTTAACACACTACACAAGACTACACATTATTCCATACATTACCTTAAAACGTTACACTATCACTAAGCATTAAACCCTACGTAACCCTAACATGCTACATGATCACAATACATTAACCCTGCACAGCACAGCACAAACTTTAATTCCTCACAATACATTAACCCTACACAAAAACCAAGTTTTCATTCTTACAGTAAACATTAACCCCACACAAACACTAAACATTAACCTCTACAATACCCCCAACATTAATCATTAGCCCCTATATTAACTTACACTTATACTTACCCTAGCCATAAATTACTCGGTGAAAGATATATAATGGTGAACTGTGTACTGTGAGAAAATAATGGAATCTTATGATTGTGTTATTTAGCATATTACCCAGAACGCTATTATGTATCTTTTATATCTATACATACATTTGCTATTATTTCATTTTTAAATACAGACACACAAGTACCAGCTGGTTTGATTCTTTTCTTGTAAATAGAGACTACGAGCAAATGTATTGTTGATTAAATGCTTGGTGACAGTACTGTTATTTTAAACCTTAGACCTCAGTAGGAAAAAAAAATGGATGCTATATATACTAACGGCATCACCATACTAATTATACTGTGACAGAACCAACCACGAACAATTTAAAAAGGTTTGTTTTCTTGTTTGCTAGCAGAAGAGAATAGGAATTGTAGACATTCCCATCATGGAAGCAGATAGCTGCGCATTTTGTTGCCTTGGGAATAGAGTGCGGATTCTTTAGTAATTTTCCACTCAGAAGCTTTTAAGGAAGCTAGCTGGGATATCACATGGAGCCTCCAGTTGTCCCTAAAATATATTTAATTTTTTTCCCCTAAACCCAGCTCTAGAGACATATGTCTGCAGCAAAAGAGCTTAGAAGAGCCCCCAGCTTAATCGGCCCCCTTCCGCTGGCCTGGAAGCAGACATTAAATGTAATTGGTCTTGAAAAGGGAGGCTTAATGCGGCAATCTGACCTGCAAGGACTGAACGATCTGTCTGGGCCTTGATCACTGCTTTGACCTGGGCAAATCCTTTCATCGCAGGGAAATCTGCTTAACAAATGTGCCTCCCCTTGAACCTGGAAATGACATTCCTGAGCGTTAATTGCCACCATAAAAACAGCACAGGACTTGCAAACAACTCATCGAGGAAATTGTCATACATTGTGAACTAGGTTAGAACTCAAAAGAATGAAACATTCTTACACATTGCTGAGACGGTTAACCATTCCAGTACCTGTCGGCCATATATAGCTAACGTTCCCCTTTTTATTTTATGTATTTTTAAAAAAAATTTTTTACTAGGTACTGGTCAGAAGAATTGGCCTGTGTGTGCCATTAGGACCTGTAATGTTGGTTACATTGAATTTAATTACTGCCTAAGCAGGAAAGTCTGGGACTGTATCATATGTGTAGGAAGTGAACGTATGACTTATACCAGAAAGCTTTGCACTGTGCATTGTAAAAAAAACATCTGCTTTCAGTGCAATGGCTGAAAGAAAACATAATGTAACAAGTTGCTGACCTTTTGAGTCATGGGTAAGGCATCTTTCATGTCAAACAATACCGTTCAATAACAGTTTAACATACAAATCCACGTTTTCTAATAAAAAGAAGCGCTGTGACATCATGATGTGAAATTTCACATGCGTTTGGGAACACAAACTTTTTTATCAGGAGTGTACGAGCAAAGATAGGTGAGAACCAAAGAAAATGTGTCTGTAAGCAAGTGGAGTACGTGGGGCATGTATTCTTCAAGACTTAAATGGTAAATGGTTAAAGAACTCCACCTAAAATTGACTAGTTAAGTCTTTTAGTCTTGCCCGGCGCCTCCAAGACTGCCATTTAAATCTCCCACGAGCCTCAGCATGCTGTGTGTTTTTAAGAATCCGCACACAGTGTGTCTAAGCCTATACAGTGTGGATCTAAATGCTTTCACCAACCCTGTTAAGACACGTTCCATCCCTCCAAGCGCAGAGTAAAATCAAATCCTTCCACACTGTGCTAGATAACTGCATAGAGACTAACAGGTAGGCTTTTTTCAGTCTCCCTCTGGGTAGAGCAACTTGCACAGCCAACACGTGACACTCCTAAAGGAAGAAGCAAAAAAGCTTCTTTGGATGTCTAAGACCGTAATTGGTTGGTCGGCTTTGTCTTCTTGCAAGGAGGTTTCTGAAATCATGACGATTACTTAAGGTAATTAAGCTCAGAGATTTCCCTGCACCATCGTCAATATGGCCCTATGAGTGCAATCCCCCTGCCACCCTTTCACAGAATTGTGGGAAGGGCCTATCAAATCTGACAACAGTATCATGTCTTTACTGCCTATTAACTGTAAAGCTCCTCCCCTTGCGCTACATTGAATGAGCTAATTTCTAAACAGACATGTTAATGGTCTATAAAAAAAAGAAACAGCCAACCAAACAAACAAAACAGCATGATTTAACGTGGTTCATTATGGTTCAATTAGTTTTTGGTAGGTGGGGAGTAAAACTTTTGAAACATGATGTGTATCTAGAGCGATAAGATCTAGAACCTGGCTTTCAGTATCTGCCTAAGGTGCTTTTTTCAATGTCTGAACAGGATGCTGTCATCTAAATATACTCTGAACAAAAAAGTGGTATTAATGCAATCTGTTACCCAGATGTTATATCATTAGCATCTTGTTATTACCTTAACCCTTAGCCAGTATTTTGAGAGACCACGTTCCAGGCATAAAGAAAAAAATCTGATAAAACCTGCATATGCCTGCATGGGTTAATGTACAAAGCATGTTGTTTAGTTTGTAATTTGTTAATGGTTTTCGGGAAAGCACGAGATTCTAATGCAGGTTAAACTGACTACTTTTGATCCCAAATCAATACATTTTAATGTCCATTAGCATTGCATCTAGGTTAAAAAAAATAAAAAGCTTCTCAGCAGTTCATGTTCGAGAAAGACATTTCTCTCTACTACTGGATGCAATGATTGTGTTACTGTACCATTCTAAATCCCCAAAGATTTTTTTGAATTGGCCCAGTTCCTGAACTCCGTGTTTTTAGCCATTGGCTATAGTGCTGCGGACATATGAAAGCCACAGCTTTAGAATAATGCAGGGTTATTTTAGGAATGATGTCCTTCAAGCAAAATAATCCTCATGACTATGACTGGTATAGGCCTGCTTTTGTATCTTGCAATTCAACTTCATTATCACTATGAAGGGTAAAGTTTTGCTGCAAAATTCCATTCTAGACTCGAGATCCATCTCTGCAGTGCTGTGCTCTATACACGGACGACCGGATATATATGTCAAATGCACAAATAACGGCTTTCAATGGACCCATGGGACTTCTGTCCAGTAACCTGCCTTTAATAACTATAGTCCTGAATTCATCTCTAGCATCACCCACTGGTTCAAAAGGGTAGACTACGCTATGCAACCTCTGAAAGATTAAATAAAAAGGTAACTCTTACCCTGCCAGAAGTCATTATGCAGAATTGTTTTATGCGACTTGTATTCTCTATAGAATCAATATGACCTGCAAGGACACAGCATGGTACATTACACCCTATCTGAGAGTTTTCCCAATGGGTTTGCCATTGTTGATGCTATGTTGGCATGATGCCAAGGATCAGTGCTGTTTTCTCGTATTAAAAATGTTTGTATATAATCATTGCACACACTCCTATAAAAATACCTCAATCATCATATATAATATATCGGCCTGCTAAAATCCTCACTTAAAAAAAAAATAAAAAGTAATATCTATTCTTCTCCATCTCCTTCAAGATGGATGCTTAAATGAAAGTGAATTAATATAGCCTACTGCATTGCGTTACAATGTAAATATAATTTTGGTGGATATGTGCTCAGTGATTTTTTTGTGTGGTCTCCCTGGAGTTGACACTTTGCTCTTGAGTTTGTTAGTCCAGATCAGTACAGCAAGGTCTACCGGTAGTTACATTATCTTAAATAACACTATCTATATTTTTGCAATGTTTTTTGGGCTATCATAATATATCCAGATAATTGGGACAACATGCAGAGGGGACAGTACCTTGAGTGTCTTGCAATTCTTGTTGTACAAGAAATAGAAAGTGTGAAGGTAATTAACAAGTACTGCAGTTTATTAGAAGAATTCTATACATTGGTAAACTCTGCTTCCGTTTCATTATGTGATGAGATACATTCAGGCAAGTGATTCAGGGTGCAATTTACTCAGTCTGACATTTATATCGGAGATCGGCTGATCTTCCAGCTTAACCCAATCACTGCCAATAACACAGCCAACGCACTCGTTAAACAGTTTGTAGGAGGCCTTTTTGACGGTGCTGGGATTAGAGGCAGTGATTCAACTGTAACTAGAGACTCAGATTGTCTGCATTTTACTGAGTTTACTCAGAGATGGTTATTTCCTTCCTTTATCTAAAAAAAAGCTATTGTAGAATAAGCTGAGCTACAATTTACTCCCCCACATTTTTTTTTTTTGTTAATCATTTCTGTTGGAGGTTTTGGAAACAGCTGCGGACAGTCAGATTTTTCTTTTGTTTTTAATGTGGTGATGAGCAGAGAGGGAGTCACAGCAAGGAGGGTTCACGATTGAGTCCAGATTCTGACAGTATTCGATTCCTTCTGTTTTGTGTGCCAAAAAAAGAAAAGAAAAGACTTTTACATTTTGGTTTGTATGGAAATGTACTAGAAATTACATCTACAGCAACTTGTATAGATGTGTGCTTCTTTGTGTAAATATATCTTCCATACATTCTAATAGAATGATACAAACATGTCCACTGTGATGCGTCTTGACACTTTGTGATCAGTCCTATTCTGGCAGTAAAGCTGTTCTTTTATTTTAATTTCTGATTAGTCGAATTCTTAGTACAGTATTGGCAAATCTTGTCAATTAAGATGCTTAACCAGGTCAGGCCAACTCTTAAACGACCTGCTGTGCCATTGGTATCAATACTAAAACCATAGAAGCTATTGGTTCGTAATACAGGCAGGCCTCATGTCATTCAGGAATTTTACAAAACAACAAAATAGAGCTTGTTGGAGGAGGTTGGGGGGCTCATCCATTCATCAGTGGCTTAGTCACTGTCTGTGAATCACCTTGTTTCAGCTTTTTTTCTTCTCTTTTCCTCCTCCACTAAGTAGGTCTATTGCAGCTCATATTGTTCTTTCAACCACTATACTTAATTGAACTTTCTTCTTTTTGTGTTAACCCACACATTGTGTGAGCCTGGCAGTAACCTCGTGGCACTGAGAAGTTCCAGCCCTTTATAAATTAGTTACTTAAGGTATGCTAAGCAGCAGAGGTACATCAAGGTTGATGTATCATTCCACCCTCATTGTGTAATGTGCATTCCATACCTCCCAACATTACAAAGACAGAGGGACACTTTAATGTTTAGGCGTGTTGTCAGGGACAGAGTTTTTCTGAGAAAATGTAGGTGACTTACTAATAACAATTTATGCAACTGAAATGTAATTTAGAACAAGAACAATGTATCTTATTTACACAGACTGATTTGTAAACACATTTATTGTAGTTTAAATACACATTACTGTGAGTATTATATTTGTGGAGCTCTAAATTCTAAATGTATAAATTTAGACTCCCCAACAGTGTGAAACTCCTAAAAAAAGAGGGACATTAGGACAGAAAAGGTGGGTAGAGTGATTTTGGCCCAAAATAAGGACTGCCCTTCTTAAGTAGGGACACTTGGGAGGTATGCTTTTTTTTGCACATTTAATTTTAATTTTCTCTAATCCAGGATGAGGATAGATACAAAAAGAGATATTGGTAGAGAATCCTGGGTGTTGTAGTCCTGAAACAGCGGACAGAGGCCTGCTTTCAGTTACCACGCCATACAGTTGTACTCATAACTGGTTCCAGCTTGCTTCACCCCTAGAATGTAAAAGTATCAGAGGGAAGGAGATGTCTCAGAACAGGAAGAGACATTAGAAGGGCTATTGTTTTATCTCACTGTCTCATCCACTCTTCAGACACAGAATGGCTCTGATTACACATGCTGCCTCTCAAAGTTTAGTGGAGAAGTCTGTTTTGTCTAGTACAATGGTATCCAGACACGGCTTGCCTAGAAGCAGCTGCAAGCTATGTTATGTCCTCTTCTAAGAGTCAGACTCTTTGATTGTAAGAAGTTGCTCTTTTTTTCTGTGAACTATATCACAATCCGTTTAAACGTTTAACAATAAACCCCTTCACGGCCAGATCGGGGCTAGCAACACCTGGATCACAGTTTTACAATGGTGCCCAAACAGGAGATATTTTCTATTGTGGTCTAAAATTTCCAGTAATTTCTAATCAGTTTAAATATTACAGGAGAACCTACCCCACTATTCTTGTTTTTTTGGTGTTTTGAAGATCTTGCCAAGTGGTGACCCTTTTTGTGTTGTATGTTAAAAACCAGTTGACGAATATTCTAACTGTGCGTCAAACACTAGATTATATTCCACAGTTATAGCCTAATTGTCTGGCACTTGCCTAATAGCTCAAACATATATATATGTGACTGAGGTTTTTCTTTAAGCAAATAAATAAAACTATCAGACCGGCGCCTGGCATTGCGGTTTCGCTGTTGGTGAGAACCTCTCCGTTTTTTCACTGCTCACAAGATACCTTACCGAAACAGGAAGGCCTCACCCTAATGACTACTTAAAAAAAAATACCTACGATTTCTTTTGCATATACCATCTGCAAGAGGGGGAAAAAAAAAAAGATACAAAAATGACTTGTGAACCGAAACTCATTTGTTCTGCTACATCCACTAAAAAAAGCTCTAGAAACTAAAAGCAGATAGTGTGTCAGCTCTGACAATTCGCCCACTGTGGGAGCATTTCAAAGCTTGCAACATTTCATGGCAGTCAACCAGGGCTGTAATCAGGCCTTTCGTACCCACAAAAAAACCTAAAATTCAAGTCTATGGTTTTTTGGGGCAGAGGTGGTCAGTTACTCAACTAAAACCAGCCATAAAATCTAATCTCTTAATGCTTCTTGGTACAACGTTGGAGATAACTGTGGTCAGCAACTTAGAATTGCCTGCTGGTGTGTGGTCACTGTGCAGTTTATTGGTGTGTACTGTGTTCTAAATTCATTCTTTGCATCTACAATATCACAATCTATACAACTTACAACATGGAGGTCGGTTCATATTGGCTCTCGATAACCGATAAAGAAATACTCTCTTTTTTTTCTACTTTTACTAATACTATGTAAAGTATAAAACCATGTGGTGGTTTTTCCACCAAGGATGGAAAAAAAAAACCTAGAAGATACACAACTTTTTTTAAGTATACGTGGGTATTACATCAAGTCTTTCAATGCCAGAATAACCTTTAAGTTGCCTGTTAATCACACATAAAATGTCTGATATGTCACAAGTTCACATATCTCACATTAACCACGTAAATACTGGGTGTAAGACACTGAAAGTTTTTCTTGTGTGTGTGTGTGTGTTTGTTTTTGTTGAATTCAGTGTTGTTTGAACCATGCTCCAGGCGACTTGTTGCTCCAACAGATCGTAACAGAAGAAAATGATCCTATTTGGTTATTTTTCTTGTGCTATCCAACACCCCGCTAATGAAAAGGGAGCTGCAACGTGATTTATGGAATTGGTTAGTTTTGTTGATTAATGTTGTATTTTTCTTTACCCACAAGTTAGTGTTATGGAAGTTTAATAACAGGTCTCCTTGGAAAAAATAATCAGTGCCAGCAAGTATAAGAAGCTTCCACTGCAAGGTCATTGGTTCAAATCTGGTTTTGCTTGATTGTGTCTCCAACTTGTTATTATCTACAAATCTGATATATGGTAATTGCAGTCTGGTGCTGTGTTGGGCTGGAGTACGAGAGACCAAAGCTTGTAAACTTATGTGACCCAAATAAGAATTTTTTTTTTTTTTGTCTTTTGGTGAAAAGAGAATTGCGTGTATCGTCTTGAATCTTAAAAGCTCCCATTGACGTGTCCTAGCATGTGCTACATTGTAACATGAATTTTCAGGAAGGTGGATTCTAATTCACAGGCATCAGACTGTAGCCAGTATATTTTATCATTTTATTGTCTTGACAATCATGGTTGTGAAACATTTTCCTTTTGGTCTCTGTCTGTTTCGCTTTACAGCGATTTATCTACTGTGAATTGCTTCCCCTAAATAATGTTGGCCCCCATCCTCTTCCTGACATTTGTATTTGTAGCTTAAAAATTTCGAATTAATCTCAAAAACGTTTTGGAAGAAATTGGTTTATTCTTAAAAATAGCTTGAAGTCCTTTTGCTAATGGTTGATTGGAGCATCCTACAATTCTCTCAGTTAACTCGTTTTAATAGCACATGGTTTAAAGAGATTTTCTTTAAAAAAAAAAAAGGCAAGACGTTGTGCGTTATTTGTGCATTTATAAAATGAAACATCTTGCGCAGTCTTCAGGGTTCTCGCTACACCTACAGAATGGAAGTTGTGATGTTATAATTTGCCGCACCTGTTTATAAGTCGTCTTTTTTTTTTTTTTTTTTTTTTTAATAAACCTCTGTGTGTTGGAGGGAAATGTAGTCTTGCCAAGAGAAATTTTCTTTGCTTTAAAGTGATTTACAGTCCAAGCGTCAAGCCACTTGTGGAAAAGTCAAAGCAGGATTTGGCAACCTACCCAGAATCCAGTGCAGCTGTGGCAGAGTGATGTCATCCGCATAACAACCATTGCAAACATAAACAGAGTCTGCACTGTTCGCCCTTATTGTTCTTCGTTCATGCCACTTACAGTTCACCTTCTACGTAAAGTCCTGGTTGACCACTCTTATTTTGGTCATTCCTAAAACTTGTGTTGCGTCTTGCTGGTATATTTCTGCGGTGATGCCACCTGTGCCCTGCTAATACATTTAAAAAGATTTATTGCAAGTTTGTCATGGAGTCGAGTTTGCTTTGCCGTAGCAATAACACTCTTAGATTACAGTAACACACATCCTACTGTATAAGCAAGCCGGGTTCCCATCTCGATTTATCTTATTGGCATGTTTATTTTGTCAGAGTCAAGTTATTATGTTTAATCCCTTTTCAGTAATAATATACCCTTGATTAAATGTATGTGCTGTGCCAGTCATAGTGCTGAATATTACTAAGGAATATGGTGTTGTTGGGGCTGTTTATCATAGAACAATCACATCTGACAACACAAAATATTCATGCATAAATTTTTTATTTTTTTATAAAATATGCTAAACAGCAATTTCTAATCATGTTTTCTTTCAATTTATTTTATCTTTAGGTGTCTGCAGAACCGGCCTCTAAAAAGTTCAAGATTGATGACTCAATCATTCACTCCCCTAACTCCGTTGAGAAAGACAAGCCATCCAATTGGTTACGGAACTTGTCAAATTCTAACAAGGTACGTTTTTGTTTAGGTATTAAAAAACAAAATCGCCACGGCAGTTCTGCTTCAGCAAACAGGGGAAGATTTGGCATGGGTATATTTTTGTTAGCTGTTATGGAAACCAGACTGCCATGTGCATTGTACTCCGATGTGCGTCTAGTTCTGGAATATGTCTGTCCAGCTTTGTTGAAATGCATTGGCACAGGCAAGGATGAGGTAAGTGACTCTCCAATGCCTTAGAGACACCGGAAGCTTCAGCGTCCCCGTCACACAATCTCAACAAGGCCTGCTGCAGACTTCATATTTATTATTGGCAAGCAACAACTGCACTGGGGTTTACACCTAATCCAGCTCATTCTCTGCAGTGAAAGTTGCTAAGCAATTGGGCCCAACAAGGCAACCTAAGAAGGGACTTGAGGGACTTAAAACACAGGCAGCTTACGTTAATGTGCACTCAGATATTTGCCAAAAAAAAAAAAAAAGCACAGGCTGTATTAAATATCTCCTGCCAGGTGTGCAACACAGGTGACATTTCCAGATGAATACATTCTTGATGGTAATTAAAAACTTTTATTTTCTTTGCTACTTCTTCAGAATGTGGTGACACGTAAGCATCCAAGAATTGTCTCCAAGATTTGTCTGTAGAATGTCCTGTTTTTTTTTTTTTTCTTTTCTCTTTTTACATTATGCTCATTTTTCTGATACCAGTAGATTTTCTTCATGGATTAATGGTGCCTGAAATTGTGGCTATAGTGTGTATTTTGTATGAATTGCTTAATTACTTTATCACTTAATCTTCATGGGATCTCCCAGTTGTAATTTGTTTTTTAATTAATTTTTAAATATACGTTGTACTTGTTGACACTTTTTTTTTTTCTCTTTCTCTAGAATTCTGGATATGCCCATAATCGCCAACGTCTTTCTGCTTTCCGGCCCTGGTCTCCAGCCATTTCAGCAAGTGAGAAAGAGCTCTCGGCCCACCTGCCTGTCCTTATCCGAGATGGGTAAGAAAGTGCTTTAGTGGTAATTGTATACACAATTGTAACAGAACCAGTGGTACCTCTCCATCTGTTAAATAAAGCCGTGCGTTTTCTAGCCAACAAGTAACCAGTACAGTTTCTCGGAGCACGCAAAGCTTGATTAATGTTCAAAGTGTGCATAAAATTAATGTTCTATATACATTGTCCATTTAACAAACCTTGCAAATGTTATGTTTCTCATTTTAGCTTCTACAATTACAAAAGCTTTGAGAACCTGGTGGCTCCCAATGTTGCCCTGGCCCCCCCTGCCCAACAGAAAGTGATCACAAGCCCACCATGTGCTCCAGCTGTGCCAAGAAGTGCACAGATATCCAGCAGCCCAGCTCAATCCAGGAAACGGAGGCCGACATCAGAATTAACGCCAGTACCAGAGGCACCAGCCCCACCTGCCCCAGTCAGGGAAGAAGAGAAGGAGTCTGAAACTGAGATCGAAGTGGAAAGCAGAGAAGACTGTAAGTGTGAGTGGAAATTTTATTACCTATTTTTTCTGTCCTTTATTGAAGAAATTATTGAAAACATCTATTATTCAGGAATGACAATCTTGAGGCTACAATTCATAAGCACTGTTGACATATAGTTGCACTGGTGCTCCCTTATAACAAGTCACACCACAAGGCTAGTGCAGGAGGCAAGCAGCAGATTGTAAAGCATGAAACTTGGAAATTGGTTGGGCTTCTCTTCGGTTGGTCTTCTCTACGAAGTCTCTTCAAAATTATACAGTAAAATTGTTCAATATATTCTTTACCTTCTGCTTCTTACATTTTTGTAAAGACTAATTTCCCCTCTTTTAATGCCACAGCTGAAAGTTCCCCTCATGGAACGGTTTACACGCCGATCCATTTTACCGGTGACGTTTATATGTGAAGGCATTTTTACCATGCTCAGTCGGAGTCTTTGAAACATAATAAGTGCACTATCCTGTTGCATTAAGCTGCCAAACCATCGGGGGCTTGTATAATTGTAACCACCATAAAACTTCAGTCAAGCTTTAAAAAAACTCCCATTATCAATATGCATGGGCACATTTGAGATGATTTCTTTTTTTAATGACCTGTGACACGTAAACGGGACTAACAGTTTATCCGTATAAATAAAAAAATATAATTGGAAAGAAAATTTGGTATGAAATAAATGTTGTTTTTGTAAATTATCAGTGATAGCTTCTATTTGAAACTCACAAACTCCTATCCGCTATCAGTGTAGCTGTAGCTCCGGCATGTTCTCAAGGTCTAACTGTGAAAATATGGCTTGTAAATAACATTTATTTCCTGTACTTTGGGTGGGTGATGAAATAAAATCACGATCGTAGATTAAACATATTATGTTGACGAGTCAAGTTCCAATAGCTAATCTTTGTTGTTTTTTTTGGTGCCCTGGGGTATCGCCTTGCCTGAATATATGACTCATTGGGTCACACGTAGGTCATCTTGATCCGTAGTGATTTGTCCTGTAACACATGTCCTAACCAGTGAAGGCCACCAACCTTCTTATTTACAGATTCTTACTGGGATGTGCCTACGTTTATGTGCTTGTTTTTTGTTTTGAATATTTACGTTGTCACCATTTACCAATATTGCATTAATAAAGATGTACATTTTTAATGTGATGTTCATGTTTCAAGCCTGTATACTTCACTAGTCCCTTCAGCATAGAAGTGATCATACAATGATAATCTGCAGAAATATGAGCTTTGAATGTGATCAGGGAGGGTATTTCTTTGAGAAATGAAGACTGCCAACCATATAAAGCTGCAAAATATTTAAAGCCATAACCATTAATATTTGCTTCACAGAGAGATGAATGCCGCATCAATTCCAAAAAGATGCTAAGATTGATTTTGTAAACTAAATTGTAGTTTATAGTACCAGCTTTGACCCTTTAATATACTATGTCTCTACCCCCACCTGCACCATTAAAGAAACAGTTAATTTGCCAAAGAGTGAATCATGGCAATTCGACAATCACTTCGCAAAATTTAGGGCAAAGCATGCTGGAAATTGTTGAAAACTAGATTCTAGATCTTATATTTATACTTTGCATTTTTATCTCCCCTTTAGTTACCTCCTCGCTGTCTTCGCTCTCATCTCCCTCCTTCACATCATCCAGTTCAGCAAAGGAGTTGAGCTCCCCAGGAATGCTAGCGCCACCTGTGGTGAACCCTTCCTATGATGTGGTACCTCACACTGACCCACACAGCAGCGGTTTGGAGGCGGAGTTAGAGCACTTAAGGCAAGCCCTGGACAGTGGCCTGGATTCTAAGGAAGCCAAAGAAAAGTTTCTTCATGAAGTAGTTAAGATGAGAGTGAAACAAGAAGAAAAACTTAATGCTGCTTTGCAGGCCAAGCGAAGCCTTCAGCAGGTACGCACTGCATGCCTGGATAATCGTACTGTGTTTCGAGCTAATGCCAGTATTTTACCCATGGTACCTTTAATTGTTCACCCCAAGTCTAGAAGCAATACAACGCCGGTGTGATTACTCTTTCCGTAGAGTATCTTCTGCATTCTTTCCAGTTCTGAGAAGCTTGTAGCAGTAGGTTAAGTAAGGGCGTTTGCCGACCTTTCGTTTGGCATCATGTATAGGCTGTTTTTTGTGAATTAGAAACATGACTCTGTGATGTGTATTTTTTAATATAAATGTTAAGCAGCAGCAGAGGATTCAATTAACAGTATGATTTTAAAGGAAGTACAAAAAAAACATTAAAAAGCAAAAACAGAAAATTCCATCTTGGAATCTTGTAGGGTGTTTACAAATACTAGAGTCTTGTGATCCCAAGATACAAATATTTTACATAAATGATGATACCATAATAGGAAACTGAGATTTCTCCCCAGCTGTGATATGATACCGTACCCCAGACGTGAGACTGTTGCTCCTTGCAGCGTACAAGATGAATCATGACAGCTTCCTTCCCTACTTTGCTTGGTTTCTAATTCTGGTTAAGAGAAAGTATGTGCTATAGCCGAGTGAACAATGGGTTGGCTGGGAAGTGAGATTATAGGAAGGGAAAAGGACTTCCCATGATCTGGCCGCAGGGTGTTACTTAACAGAAATATGTTGTTATGCATGTTGGCATCTGATAGAGAGGAAGTCTCACTTCTGGTCTGTTTCTCTGTGTTTTATTTTGTGTTGTTTTTGTTCCTCTTTTTATTTTATCCTGGGAATCCTTTCGCAGTGAGATCAAGTGGTAACCTCTGAACGTTTATGAAGCCTTTTTCCTAGGAATGGATTTCTTATGCGTATATGTTTGCTTTAATGACCTTTAAGTGATCTGTTCCAAAATCCATTTCTAGTGACCATTTACGGATTGTATTCAGTGCTTGTGGTTATGTTACAATGTTACAGTGTACGTACGTTCATTCACTGTAACAGGGAGGGTGGAGAATAATGCCAATCTTTCAGTACTAGTTCTTTATGCATAAGCCATTACTGTGCTGTGCATTGTAAATGCTTAACAGGATGCTCTCATGCCGAGAGGAAACCCCGGGTTTTTCAAAGTTTTTTAATTTGCTGTTGATTTCTGTTTTATCCTAAATGGTCATGTCTGCATTCTAGCAGTTCTTTTAAATTGAACCCTCTGCTTTCCATTACCTTCTTAGGAGCTGGAGTTCCTTCGTGTTGCCAAGAAAGAAAAGTTGAGAGAAGCGACTGAGGCCAAGCGCAATTTAAGGAAAGAAATTGAACGCCTGAGAGCGGAGAATGAAAAGAAAATGAAAGAGGCTAATGAATCGCGGTTACGTTTGAAGAGAGAATTGGAGCAAGCCAGACAGATTAGAGTATGCGACAAAGGCTGCGAAGCAGGAAGGATACGGGTCAAATACTCAGCGCAGGTAACTTTTCTGACTTCCCCATCACTATGTATTTGTTTGCTTGTGAATGGTTTAAATCAAAGAATACCATAGAGTAAATCCTCATAGAATCCGTCATAGAACTTTAACTACCATGATACCTTGGCTGCCTGTAGGCTGTCAAGGCATCATTGCAGTGGTAGTTTTACAACAGTTCGGAATCTCTGTTGTAGCCATCCCTTATTACAGTGCAGCGCAGGATCTGTGTATAAATCAATCATTCAGTAAGGAGTGTACACAGGCGTTGTTACATTTGTTGCTAACCAGTTTCCAGCAGTACATAATGTTCTAAACGCAGCCCTCTCTAAGGGAAGGGATGAAACAGTGTGCTTTTCTTTGAAATACTCAGTCAATAACGGGAAGGGGAGTGGGCTGATTCTACTGATGTGAGACACACCAAACCAGGAGACCAGAAGCAGGAAATGATGTGGACTTCCCCCCCAGCATCAGGCTGATAAGAGGCTTCCAGACTAAACATTACCACAGTGAGAACTGCAATGGGTGTTACCTGCCGTTCACTTCCACTGCAACAATATGCCAAATTGCAGCTTATCACTGTGTTTTCCTAGCATGTAATTGCCTTGAGAATTCAGTCTTGCCTGTATCCCTAACAACGCTGCTTCAAGGTACACTTGCGTTGTCCTACAGTCTCCATTAAAAAAAAAAGTCACACTTGTTCACATGCAAATTTCTCTCTCACGTGCTTGCTCAGTGTGTCCCTTGGGCGCCTCAATGTCTCTTTTGCCTTCAAGTGCTCGTAGCAAAGTTTTCACTAGAGACTTTCAGCTGTGAATTAGAGTGCCCAGGTTTTAAAGTGTCTATATGTGACCTTAAGATAGCCATCCTTGCTTCAACTCTTGATGCGTACCAAAATTAGATTAACATTTCTGTCACAGTGACTGCCTTGTTCAGTACTATAATTAAATTACAAAGCGCAAAGAAAAAAAAATATGCAAATGTAATTCTTGGCTTTCTTGGCTGCGTGAAATAATTGTCTGAGACGTACTTCAGCTTTTAGTTAGGGGATGGCATTTTTTTTGCTGCCAAGGTCGCAATAGGGTAGCTAGTGCTTATCTAATGCTAAGAGAGCAGAGAAAAGTTGAATTCATGTATTCTGAAACAAAGACCTTTGCATTGTGACTTTTGTAATAAAGGTTGTCACAGATTTATATAAGGTTTTAAACCGGCTTATCATATGTTGTTTACTTAAAAAAAAACAACCTAAAAAAAACCCACCTATGAGCTGGTAGGCACCTGATTTCTGTTTATTTTTTCTATTCTTTACATTACTGTTACATTAACCCCATTAAAGGTCACTGATCTGTCTGAGCCATCTCTGTAATATTCCCTAAGTGGTTAATTAACCTTCCACATTTGTACAGATGTCTGATGGGTGGTTTTAGGTTATTTTTGTGGCCTTTGGTCGCTAAGATCATTTCCATCTTTCAACGTACTTCCAAATGTATCTCTGCATACAACTGCATATCCTTTATTACCTCGTATGGTTTTGATCCATTTATTTGTTGCCCAACTATGGACGTAATTGAATATTTCTGGATACTCTTTTCAAATATTTTAATGTTTTTTGGATACTTTGAAAAATATTTAAAACTTTTGACATGTTGATATCTTTTTATTGCTATGTAATATTTTTCTGATACATAGTATTCCTTTTCTCGTCAAATTTGCAGATTGAAGATCTTCAGTCTAAACTTCAGCTCGCGGAAAACGACAGAGAGCAATTGCGGACAGACCTTGTACATGAACGAGAAGCAAGGGAACATTTGGAAAAAGTTGTGAAGGACCTCCAGGAGCAACTTTGGACCAAACCCAGCAACCTATCCAGCAATGAACACACACGGAAAGACATTGAAAACTAAAAACATAAGAAAACAAAAAAATACCTTATCTACTCATATACAGAATTCTACGTATATGCACAGGACGAAGAGGAGGAGAATGAGCGATGTATGCATGAAGTGATGCATGTGTGAGTGTGTGGTGTGTGTGTCCTGGGCACGCACAAATAAATTTGAACTTTACTAGTTGGAGAGAAAATGTTACTCTATACAACAGAAGCACTGAGCTATGCCTCTTTTGAACCCACACAGCACAACATCTACTGTGCCTCATACAGAGTGTTTATAATCAAGAGTCCCTTTGGCTCTCTAGTGAAAATCTTTTTTTTTTTTCTACAATTTAACTACACGAGAACTACAGCATTCAACAAAGTCGATCTTAAAGAAGCGGGCATGAGCAGTACTTTTACACCATTGTTTTTGCGTGCTTGGAACACTTTGAGATTTACATTTTCTTATAAGCTATTTAATATGAAATACAAAAAAAATATATATTCAAATGATGAGGACATTTTAAAAACTTGATATTGAATACAGACAGACAAAAAAAAAAAATGAAAACAAAAAAAAAAATAAAACCTATCACACAAGAATTTCTTTTTTTTTTTTTTTTTGTATAATGGACCTGAAAATCTTGATGCACAATTTTAACTGACTTGTTACAGGCTTTTGGAGTTTCTTAAAGAAACGCTTCTTACTCCTTCTCACCCCCAGTCTCAATGCCATTCATGTCGACTGTGCAATGTATTTGTGTCAAGCCATCATTGTCAAGCCCTATCAAACATAGACTCTCCTGCAGCAAATGGCTTCAGCATCAGATCTCTTCTTCTGGAAATATTGCTCCATTTTGGTTTTTAATATATAGAAATATATATATATTAAAAACAATGGAAAATAAATATATATATATATATTTTTTTAATTATTTTACTTTTTTTTTTTTTCTTCTGTTCTAAACAGGAACAAGTGTGTTTGTGCGCATGTAAGAGAGGGCTGGAAACAGACAGAAAAATTAAGTTAGAGAAAACAAATTATAATAAACAAAAACATCTATATGGAAATAAGTGGGACTGCTTGGAATTATTGACCAGTGTTTTTTAATTCCGCCATATTGTAAAGAAATCTATGGGTATGCGGTGCATCTTTTGGACTCTTAACCCACCATGGAACCTTGCAAAGGGAAAAAGACCAGAATGGAACAAAAGAATCAGTTTGGACTGTTAGTTTGTTGAAAGAATGTAACTAGTATTTGAAACTCTTCCTATGTAATCCGTAATCAGTTTTGTTTTCTGGATAACATTTATTATTTGTTACATTTTTATTTTTGTTTCTATTCAGTATTTAATCTTCAAGTTCACCTCTGTGCTGTGAATATTAGGGAATGCAAAAACCCCCCAAACAAAACAGTTTTGCTGCTGTTAACAAAGAAACAGTGGGAACTGCTGGTAAAGAGGAGTTCTGGGGCAAACTTCTAAAAGTGGAGCAAAAAGTAGGAGCATTCCATTGGTTTCCATGGCAACAGCTCTGCTTTTGGCACTTTCTGCCCCACACTTTCTCTTTATTCGTAACTCCCACTGTTTTTTTTTTTCAACACTGTTAGCGTTAACCTAGTTATAGTTTCTTTGATACATGCAGGCTCTTTTGTCTCTAGTGTATGTGTGTGTTTATATATGTATGATGTATACATATACACACGTACACACACTACTCTGAAATGGATCATCCAAAATAAAATAAATACAATAAAATGTGATTGTTACGGTTGCAACTTCCTTTCAGGAGATTTTATGGACAGAAAATTCTGTATTTCTGTTTTTCAAATGTACCAGTTCAGATCAAAAGCTAATGAGCAGTATTGCTGCTGAGTGAGGTTTGCAGTATCCTTTTCAGAGTTTAGTGCACCTACCTTAATGTTTTAGAGACCTGAGAGATACATGCAGAACAGGTGTTGCTTTGAAAATCTGTCTCTACCTTTTTTGTCTCCACTCCAATTGGTTATTTGTCTCTACTCCAATTGGTTATTTTATTCTATCATGCTGCCTACCTCCTAGTGAATTAAATCATTGTCCATTTGGGGTGGTGCCTCCTTCTTAGAATACAGTAACATAAATAGTCCTTTAAGGAGGTATCATGATAAGCCCAATGAGAATTTACTTCCGAGCGTCTTCTGGAAATGATGTTGGTTGAATGGTTGATGTGCTATTCTCGTTGGCTTCATAACACTGGCTGTTTTATACGGTGTTAAAATGTGTCCTGAAAGGTATCCACTTCTGTGTTTGAGTTGACCATCAAGGGTGATTAGCAAGTGATTGTTATGGAAATGTATTCACCACAGGGAATGATAATCACATATCGGGGGTGAATACAGAATGGGTTAATGCTAACCCGATGAGAAAACTTTTAAAGTACGTCTCCACGAACAGGTTTCAACTGATCCAGCCTGTATACTTACAGCAGTAACTTCTGCCGCAAGTCTTGATGAGGATCTCGGTTTATCGGAGATCTTATACTCCAATGTTCTGTCACTGCAAACATTTTAGTATCTTTTATATAATTTTTTTTTTTTTTATTCTTTTGCTTTCTTTTATGTGGTTTGGTTAAACATATTTCTAGAATTGTTTCCTCCATGAGGTTTCATGCTCAGATTAACAGATGTTGAAAACAAACAAACAAACAAAAAAATAAAATAAATGGGCTTTCATTCTTGGTATGCATGGGACATAGTTATACTCTAGTGTAAAGTTTACTAACTTTTATATTTTAAATCTATTATAAGATTGAAAAGTGTCTGAAACAAACAAAACGTAATCTTTACTTATTTTTTTTTTTTTTTTTGGGTAACAGATGCATTTTTGATTGGACTGCAAGAATTTTATCCTATCTCTTTTAGTATAGGAGGGGCAAACAAACTTGCACACCCCCCCTCTGATACTCAAAGAGATTCTACCAAAGCTTTCCCCCTGCTCGTGTCCTAGCTGATCTTATACATTAATATTACCAATGTAACCAGTATGCTATTTGTTTATTTCAATGCCGAACAAATAACCTGCTTTCTTTGGTTTATTTTCAAAGATGCCATTCCGTTTCACATTAGGTGGGTGGCAGCAATCTGGTAAAATTTAGGCCAAAATAGTGTTCATCACTCCCAGATAAAGAAATTATGCTCTGCAAGTCAATAAAAAATAAATAAAAAAATTAGGGCAGTACAATGTCCGTTTGCTATTCCCCTTTTTGTATTAAATTCCATTAAGTGATCCCAGATTAATGTCTGACAGTATCATTTAAAAATGGCTGGGTACCTTGTTGCCACCCCTGTTGTGTAGGAGTGTCACTGCACCTTTGAAAAATGTCACTGACAGATTTGGGTTGGTGAGAATGACTGCACACTCAATGCAATTAAACAATCTCATTAGTGTTTTATTAGATTTCATTATGTCTCTGTGGGGCCCACCCTTTTGCTGCTAGTGAGTCCCTTAACATTTAAGAGGTATCGAATGCAACTCCATAAAGGCTGCACTACAGGTCATATCCCTCCCCCCCCAGAGTAACCTCACTTATACCGATGATCTTTGTACAGTACTTCGAGAAGAATTTATGGGTCCTCTGCTACTGGAGGGTCTTGCATCACAATTGCATGTGTTATGAGCCCTGCAGCATTTAAATGCTTTTCTGTTCTTAAGTGCAATGCAGATAAAAAAAACAATTGGTTATTTTATTTTATTTTTTTTAACACAGGGTTACAGTTATTGCTTTTTTTGTGTGTATTTTTTCCCCCGTGATTTTTATTAAACACAATACATATATGCATGGAATTCAACTCTCTGCCATAATTATCAAAACTGGGCATTAGTCTTTTTTTTTTTTTTTTTAATTTTAACTTTTTTGTGTTACACATCACACACATACCTGTTTTGTTTTTTCTGTTTTACATTTTGTATATTTTTTTCTAGTGTTTGTTTTTGTGCAGTCCTTTTTTTTCAGATTCTGAGGGAGTCAATACCTTTTTTTTTTTTTTTAAATTTGGTAGCGTACTTTACTTTTATCCTATTACACAATTGACGTCTTGCAGTGCGCAATGCCTGTGTAAAGATAAAATAAGACATAAACGGCAGACCTGCACTGTTGGTTTTACAGAGATGGCAGTAAGGTTGAGCCGGAGAGTCAAAAAGTGTACGGGATAGACTTGTTCCGTTGCTGCTTAATAAAATCTCCTTCAAACGAGATGAACACAAAACCCAATATTCATCCTGCATAGAAATATTAAGTCTTATTTACATTTGTTTAATGATTGTAATATTGACACCGGGCACTACTACACTGTATTAAAAGACCAATAATCTGAGATAAATGTGTTTTTAAAAAAAATATATTAAAAAAATAAATATATATATATATATATATAAATCTCCCCAGTTTTTCCAAATTTTTCCACTTTTTAAAATTACTCAACTTTTAACTTTTAAACTGAAACTTTAGTTTTACTTACTGGGCTTTCCTTTTTCTGTCCACTTGGCCTGAAGATAGTCCAGATTTTTATAGTAGACTATAACTTAATGCTTTATTAAGCAGTTTGCTAATTACACGTTCGAACTTGAAAATCTGGCAGGATTAAACGGCCTCTTGGGAATGAGTTGGAGTGTCCCAAACGTAAAATATACAGTTCACTGTATTTTTGTGCCTTTCTTTCATGTGAATGTCTGTGCCTTCAAAATCAGTCTTGAATATCCATTCTCAGAAGTCAGCAGTCTAGTCTATGTAAGGAACTGTCAGGTTAACAGAAAAGTTATTGGAATGCCTTTTCTGTTAGTTACATGAAAGCTCCTGATATTAGCTAAATGTCTCACTATGGAACTGCAGTATTGTCAAACACTATGGATCCTTCATCATAGTATGTGTGTGGTTGGGAGAGATATTTTAACTAAAAGAAAAAAATAAGCCATATCTCTGCTGCAAAACAAGCAGCTCGCAAAAAGCTTGAATTCCTGTTAAAGCTGCATTTGGATTTATACCTGAGGCTTTTTTTATTATTATTATTAGACAAAATGTCTATATATAAACCATATGCTAATTCAGAATTTTTGCATAGCAACTCTGATGCCAGGTGAATGATGCATTTTAATATGTGTGGATAACTTATATATATATATATATATATATATATATACATATATATATATATAAAAATATAAATATATATAAAAAACTACCAATCCAATGTCACCCTTCACTGATTGATCATGGAAGCCTGTAAAGTGTAGGCCTGTTGATCTGTGGTTGAACGTATCCATGGACCATCGGGAGATGTGGATAACGTATGCCTGGGTGGTAAATTTTCGATTTGTGATTATACCACATCTCACTTGGAAAGGTTTGACCGTGCTTTTCGAAATGAAACTCAGCCTCTCCAGATGCAAACGTTACAGGAGGATTGTGAGTGGTCAGACGTGCTCCAATGTTGACGTACAGGAGCCCCCAAATTAGTGTGCAGTTCCTCTAGTATGTGAAGTCAGCATTATTGTATCTCTTTTTGACTTTTTTTGCATGGATAATTTTATTGCTTTGCTTTGATTCTTTGTATGAAGGGCTTGCATACCTGTTTCTAGTGTACAACATGAATTTTGTATTTTTTTTTTCTTAGTTTTTTTTATGCACCTGACCAAACTTCAGTGAACCTTTGCAAAGTGGTCTGCGAATGTCATGCCACTGGTCTAAAATAAATTTGCTTTTCAAAATTCTTAACCTCAATTTGCCTTATTCAGTTTTGCTGCTATATGCATGGCCAGTCATTGTTCCGTAAAAGCGGCACAGGACGTTAAAACCGCATTTTCTAAATTAATTTAAAAAATAAAATAAAAATGCATTTATGTTCTGCAAAACCGCATGGCAGTTTGTGCATAAGACCATTTTGTATGCACAAAATTCACAAGATAAATATAAAATGTTGAGACTGATCACAAATGTTAAGGGTTCTAAGGTTATATGGACTGAGTATTTCAGGTGGGTAATGTCTGTGTGTGGAATACTGCATTGCAGTAAATAGCGAGTTTTATTCCCCTACTCTCTGTATTTTAATTTTGTGTAGGCTGCTTGGCCCATTCTTGTAGATGCTATTAATTCTCCCTCTGCTTACAACACATTACATTGATCAATGTATATTCTATATATTAACCATATTTCTATACTGAAATAAATAATAAAGGGAACTTAAATCAACAGCAATAACATTCATATCTATTAAAAACTGATAAATCTTAAACATAATATCCTACTTTTACATGTCAGACTAGCCAATTGTACAAAGAAACACAATTTATTTGTAAATAGATTTTTTTCCCCCCTTCATTTTACACTGTTGTATTATAAGTGTATATGGTGTTTTTTATTTTAAATTTTTTTTTCTTCGGAAAAAAACCTTGCTAATTGTCTGGCTTAATTTGTTGTGTTTTTAACTCCGAATTTGATAGAAAAAAAAAAATTACATTTTGCAATTTATAAATGTTTTAGGCTAATGTTTTTTTTTTCCTCATTACATTGTGTCCATATTTTCATTGTAAAGTATTTTTATTATAAAAAAAAAAGGTTGCTTTTTTTTTCTCCATAATTTCTCACATTTTTAGAGGGCTTTTTGTATCAGAAGAATTCACAAGAATGACTTTTTTTTTCATTTGAGAGAAAACAAATCGACATATGTTATAGCCAATATCATTTCAACACATTTTTATCTTGTTTTATTCTATGCTGCTGCTAATGACAATATTAAAACTTACTCGACTATTCTAGAACTATTTTTATGTAATTAATGTATGCTTTTCTTGTTTATAAATGCCTGATTAAAAAAAAAATTAAGAAAAAAGCTTAGCATATTTATCTATTTCGCTGTGTACCCTGTCAGTCCTTTTTTTACCTCTTTTTTCCAGAACCTTTTGCCCTCACAAAGATAATATTGTAAAATAAAGGACATTATGAGATTATGTATGAAAATAGCTATGCTTATATACCACAGTGACTGAATGTACAGTGTATAGACGCATTACCTAAAATAAAATTGTTTGTCCAGAAAAAAAAAATATGTCTCTCTCTACTCTTTCTGTGTCATCATTACCTGTTCATACTGCCTTCGGGGGGCAAAAGGTCTTATGGTGATTGTGTTGAGAATTTGTTTTACACTCATCTTTAAGATTGACGTTACCCAGCTGTGACACAGGAATTCATTCTTGACCCATTAAATGACTGAGGTTAATCTCCAGAGAATCATACCTCATCATTCAAAGTGCTTCTACGTCTGTTCTACTTCATAGACCCACAAGGCTTACAACAGGGGAAAAGCCTGTCTCCACTTTTCAAACGAAAGGCATTCTAACATTCTAGGCTTAATGCCATCTTGATTTTACAAAGCACTACATTTTGTGGGAATAATGCAAAGGCCTAACGTTGCAATATCTGGAGTTCCATGAGTTCTAAAACTACAAATTTTAGATAAAAAAAAAGTCCTAAGATTGGTGATAGCAATTATGTAGCTCCTAGATTGTTGTAAGACTACAATGCCAAGATGGACCTGCCAACCAGAGGCATTCCTTTTGTTTTCAAAAGAGCAATACATGATGTGAAGCTCCACCGCAATTATTATACTTTTTCTAAGGTAACAAAACTAATGGTTCTTGCATCATTCAAGGAGGACACTGTGGCGAAACCAGCCTCGCCACTGTCCACTGGAGGAGCCTGGTTGCTCGCCTGCTCCCTTTAGACTATGGCCCGGCAGTTAAAACCTTTTATTTTCCCTGCAAAGCGTATTCATGCCTTTCTGTAGACTGTTAAAGCCATGCTACCCCAGATAGCTATGCCATGGAGCCCAGCCGTATATTGAAAGACTGTATGAAAGACTTTGGCTCCATGGCGATTGAACTGTATTTATGTGATCTGAGCGCCATTCGGTAGTAATGTGCACTCAGATCTAAGCTATCTGGGGATATGTAGAATGTCTATGTTTTATGGAATAAATGTAACTGTATGTAATTTTATGTCTTTTATTGTATTGTTACTGCCATGTGGTTAATGGAGTCTTGCCTCTGTCCTGGGAGATAATTGGATTACTTCACAGTTATCTCCTGGACAGAGAGGAGGGATTGTGATGTAAATGTGGGTGTGTTTTATGGTTCCCCTGTAACGATTGGTTGTACTGTGTCCCACCCTGTGGGATGTCCCCTTGCATGGGGACTTGCATAAAAGCCAGTGTGTGGCCATTACAGGGAGTTCCTGTTTTAACCCTCAAAGTGAAGTGTCGTCTCATTATTGGGGGAAGGATTCATTGTATGCTGTTCCAGTTTGACTGCTAGGAGAGTAAACCTATTCGTATGGTTCCTATTCAACTGTCTACAGCATTCATATGCTTGGGAGAATTTATTTGTTTCTCCGGTTCGGTGAATGTGGTGTCTGCCAGAGTGCTTGGAGTCCTCAGGAAGCGCTAGGAGCATCCTTCAACGGAGGTACCCAGTCGGGGTGCCAGGCGATCCGTTACATTGGTGGCAAGCGGTGGGATGGCGTCCTAGTGTGAGGTAAAGCAGCTCAGAGACACCAGTTCCTGGATTACAAATTGAGGGCAACGCCAGTACCCGTACAGCGACCCTATCTACAAAAGAACCAACTTCAGCAGCGCAAGCATGGCACCCAGCTACACTCAGGAGCAGTATGACAGAGAGTTTACCATGCGGCTGGCTTTCTTTGGACCCAACCCCCCGGAGAAATACGTGCAGCTCGTAAGGAGCCAGGTAGACGAGTACCTGCAGTTCATGGCAGATCCAGCCAAAGGTATCGGCCGCCCTATCCGGTGGCAGAGTGCGTTACGGGGACTCAAAGGTGTACCCCAGGGAGCTGAAGGTGTCGTCCTTCCTCCCCAGCGGCAGAGTAAGTCCCAGGGAGCTGAAGGTGCAGTCCTTCCTCCCCAGCGGCAGTGTGTATCCCAGGGAGCTGAAGGTGCAGTCCTTCCTCCCCAGCGGCAGTGTGTATCCCAGGGAGCTGAAGGTGCAGTCCTTCCTCCCCAGCGGCAGTGTGTATCCCAGGGAGCTGAAGGTGCAGTCCTTCCTCCCCAGCGGCAGTGTGTATCCCAGGGAGCTGAAGGTGCAGTCCTTCCTCCCCAGCGGCAGTGTGTATCCCAGGGAGCTGAAGGTGCAGTCCTTCATCCCCAGCGGCAGTGTGTGTTCTTAGGAGAGGAGACAGTTGGTCCCTCTCCCCAGCGGTCAAGTGAGTCCCAGGGAGCTGAAGGTGTCGTCCTTCCTCCCCAGCGGCAGAGTGTCCTGCAGGGAGCAGAGACCGTCAGTCTCGCACCCCAGCAGCAGGACAAAATATTGAAAGGGGAGACAGCTGGTCCCCCTCACCACCAGCAGAGAGAGTGTCACGGAGAGGAGCCTGCTACCCCCTCTCCCCAGCGGCAGGTTACAGTTCAGAGAGAGGAGCTTGTTACACCTTCTCTCCAGCGGCAGCCTAACCCACCAAGGGGAGATGTTACACCCCTCAACAGTGCAGATGGGACCGTAGTCTTTGCACTTGCAGCACAAGAGGTAGGGACGGTCGGTCCTGTCCCCCAGCCCCAGAGCTGTGTACCCAGAGGGGAGACGGTCGGTCTCCCCCTCCCACAACCAGGCTCCAACCAGGCTACTTCAGTGGTAGCGCTGGCACCAGGGCAGAGTACCGCTGGTCTCTGCCCACTCAGCAACCCACCAAGGCAGTCTACCAGCTCCCCGCACAGCCGTGGTGAGGAACCTGGACCTGGACAAGCTGCTACTTTATCCAGGTGGGGTAAACATTTATTGTGGGTGGGAGGTACTGCTGTTTGTGCTTCATGGGTGCGTTGCTGGACTAACCAGGGCACTGACCGACAGGAGGTCAGATACCCTGTTAGTCTGGATGGTAAAGGGGAGAAATGTGGCGAAACCAGCCTCGCCACTGTCCACTGGAGGAGCCTGGTTGCTCGCCTGCTCCCTTTAGACTATGGCCCGGCAGTTAAAACCTTTTATTTTCCCTGCAAAGCGTATTCATGCCTTTCTGTAGACTGTTAAAGCCATGCTACCCCAGATAGCTATGCCATGGAGCCCAGCCGTATATTGAAAGACTGTATGAAAGACTTTGGCTCCATGGCGATTGAACTGTATTTATGTGATCTGAGCGCCATTCGGTAGTAATGTGCACTCAGATCTAAGCTATCTGGGGATATGTAGAATGTCTATGTTTTATGGAATAAATGTAACTGTATGTAATTTTATGTCTTTTATTGTATTGTTACTGCCATGTGGTTAATGGAGTCTTGCCTCTGTCCTGGGAGATAATTGGATTACTTCACAGTTATCTCCTGGACAGAGAGGAGGGATTGTGATGTAAATGTGGGTGTGTTTTATGGTTCCCCTGTAACGATTGGTTGTACTGTGGCCCACCCTGTGGGATGTCCCCTTGCATGGGGACTTGCATAAAAGCCAGTGTGTGGCCATTACAGGGAGTTCCTGTTTTAACCCTCAAAGTGAAGTGTCGTCTCATTATTGGGGGAAGGATTCATTGTATGCTGTTCCAGTTTGACTGCTAGGAGAGTAAACCTATTCATATGGTTCCTATTCAACTGTCTACAGCATTCATATGCTTGGGAGAATTTATTTGTTTCTCCGGTTCGGTGAATGTGGTGTCTGCCAGAGTGCTTGGAGTCCTCAGGAAGCGCTAGGAGCATCCTTCAATGGAGGTACCCACTCGGGGTGCCAGGCGATCCGTTACAGACACATTCTCAAAAAATGTCTTCTAGCCGGGCCTAGTTCTAGTTACTTGCTAAGGCAGCAAGAAAGATTCCCAGGCACTCAAAGTGTGAAAGCTGCAGGCAGTTTTATTGAAACAAAAAAAGACAGCAAAGTTTCGACCTACTGAGAAGTCTTTTTCAAGCTTGAGATCTTTTTGTAGCTTAAAAAAGACCTCTCAGTAGGTCGAAACGTTGCTTTCTTTTTTGTTTCAATAAATCTGCCTGTGGCTTTCACACTTTGAGTGCCTGGGAATCCTTCTTGCTGCCTTAATGTGTTGGGATTGATGGTCCTGTTCCGGAGCACCGGTGGCCGATGGGATTGAGTGCGGTTCCTATGATCAATTTTGCTAATAGTTACTTGCTGTCGAAAGTCTGGGGGATCCATGGCAGCTGCACCAGGGGTGGATTCCAACTAGTCGACAAGTGAAAACTTTAGAGTTCCGTCTACATCATCTCCTTGATGGATACTTTTATATAAACTAGATGTATGTGAGCTTCTATAATCAAGTACAGAAGAAGAAGGAGCCGTAAGGATGAGTATTTCAGGGTTATTCACTAGCGAGAATTTCAAAATTAAGGTCAAAGAAGCCAAACGAGAAGCATAGCTGACTTAAATATTTTTCCATTTTGGCTAATACGACCTTGAATTTGAAATTCACTTTGAGTTCTCACTTTGGTGAATAACCCTGATTCTGGAACGTCTGGGGATTAGGTAGCCATCGAAAATAAAAAAATTGCGTTATTGGTTAAAGTGACCTTTCAAAGTTTTGTCAACAGCAAAATGTGAAGGGTAGGCAGAAAGCAGACATATGAAGGATATTTAAAAACATAATCAGTGCTGAATATATAGATAGAGAAGGCCGAAATGTTATTGATTTAACCAGGTATTTGGACACTCACATAACAGATTACAACTTTGGCATTACAGAGAAAGGTGTACAGGTTTAGCTTTGCATGCATTAAGATACATAGTGCTCTAACGTTAAAAGGAGAATTTACAATTTCTTATGTAACCAGATTCATCTACATTAAACCAAACTGCAATATCTCCTTTTTATTATATCTAAACAGTTCAACAATAATCTCAATAAAAACTATTTATAATAAAATAAATATATTACTAGAAGTAATACTGATTAAGGTGCTTATTTACACAACATTAACACCCGAGTACTTGGCATCATTCTGCTAGTTTGATGATTAATTATAACTCATAAAATAAAAAATAAAAATATAATAATGTAACAAACACATTAATGGGGTGGTAAAAGGAGCGCATATGTGCTCAGTAGATAA